TTCATACAAATTTTGTTACGAGGGGAGGGGGGTGGTCTAAGAAGTCATTTTTTCGCGTTACGTAATAAGTGAACAGCCCCAAAGGAAATGTGTTCATTGTCTGAATTCTAGTAGAAGATTGAACTGAATATTTTTATGGACTATAATGATAAAAATATTATTCAAATCTCAAATTACCGTTACGACATGGTTGATTAATTGATCATAATAAAGCATCAAATTTCACAAAAGATTCTTAATTCAGCTCAAACCATTAACTTATAAAATACTCTCCGTTTGTTAAGCGTAGGATGAATGAATCTAGTAAGTGTCGTTGGTTACAGTATCAATTCTGCCTGGTAGCAGTCTAGTAAACTGTGACTTAATGAAGAATATTCCTTTTTCGTGCAACAATAGCTGTTGCGTCCCACACTCTGTACATATTCATAACTTCTATTTGCAGCATTTAGTAGACATTTTATGATCCCTTTGATCTCGTATAATTTTATGACTTTATCCTTCCTTATTGAAAATTTGATGCAACATATGGCGAATTCATTTCAATAACTCAATATACCTTTATGCAGAATGAAGGAAGTGTTGAATTTGATATAATTTAATTGAACAATAATAACTTCCACTTTTATGGCTCATTTAATGCTGCGAAAAAATTGAAAAATAAAATTAAGCTAAAAGCATAAAAAAGAAATTAAATTTTGCGTGATTTTTACACCGAAAATTGAATATTAAAACCAGCAAGTCTTGAGAAAAGCGAATCAAAGGAAAACAGATGTTGTTATATGATTAAACTTTATTATCATACATGAAATATTTATGTGCAAATAGTATTATCGCTTTAACATACAATTTTTCTTCCTTTAAACTCAAGTTACAGTCGGGCTTTTTAAATTTATGTTGACATGCATCTACAATTTATTCTCTTTCATTCGTCCGTGCGATGAGTTTATGTGTGGGGTTCGTAGAAATAGAAGGGAAGAAAGGATAGGAAAAGTTGAAATAGTACTCATATTTATTGAAATGAGATCCTTCAAAAGATACTTAAAATTCAAGATACACTCACTCACACTTGCATCAAACCGCACATTCTTTTATTCTGTTTGGGATGTGTACAGAACTTTTTATGCAAATGCTGCTATAGTGATGGAAGTTTATGCATAAAATGAAGTCACAAAATGACTTGCAAAAAATTGAAAAGCGCATTTTTAATTGATTGAAATTTTATGTGCCAAAAATGGCGGAAAACTAAACAAAATCAAATCTAAAAACCCAAAAAATAAAGTTTCGTCAGACTAAATCCTCAGGACTTAACAGACAAAACTTCATCAACAATAGTTTATATCTTCCTACAATGAGCAAACACTTATAAAATGGAAATAACTTTAACAATACGTGAACAAATTCGAAATGAAATTGAACAGTTCAATGAAAATAGAAAGACAAGCAAACTTTCTGTTGTGCTTGATAAAGTTGCTATAAAACTATGAAAGAAAGTTAAAAGGCTAATTGAAACAGTATGAAACAATAAATCTTATGTTTATACCGCCATCATTAGACTCTACACATCCTTAAAACAAAAACAATTCTTTATCGTTACAACCTGTTGAATATCGTTTCTTGTTGCTCGTAAATAAGAATTTAACGTCAAGATTCTGTATCCTTTTAATGGGAAATACTTGACAGATTATCTTACGATCTAATTCAATTCTAAAAATCAATTAAAAGTCACTGATGTGTAAAAATCATCCGAAAATTCTTCAACCCTTCATTTTTTTCGGTTCTAAGACGGCTGATGATGAAAAATGAGATTTCCTGAGAATAACTGGATATAAGTTTGGGATTCTTACACGATTCAACAAGTTTAATGCGCATTAATCTAATTTACAAAAGTTTTAAAGACCTAAAATTATAATCAATTTAGATTCTATTCTCATCGAATCCTCTGACATCATAAGACTTTATGTCCTAACAGTCTGCCACAAAGTTTTACGGATTTCTTAGAAAGAATACCATGAGACGATATTTTGATGACTTTTAAATGTACAAAGATTGTTTCTTCTTCATATTAAAAATTATCTATCATCTCTTGCCTTAAAGCTTTAATGGTGGTTGCATTACGTTTACACAATGGAAGGACGTTTGTAATTAATTTCCTTTCTCATTCCTCATCGTCTCTTAAAGAAGAATCTTACAGTGAATGATGTATTAAGTCATTTATCAGGCAAAGGGAGAAGAATTGAAATTAAATAAGGCATAAATTGGCATTGTTGTCTTGTATCTGTGACTTCTAAGAAGAACTTATTGATAATATTGAATTGTTTAGCATTGAATTAGGATGTGGATATGGTTCAATTGATAACATGAAATGTTTTATTGACAATTGATATTTAGTTGAGCATTTAATGTTGATGTAATGGCAATTGACATTTTTGGAGTGATATTTTGGCGCCAAAAATGCTTTTTCAGTAAAAATTCGTATTTTAAGCTAGGATTCAGTTTTTTAATCATGTTGAAAAGCAGAAGAGACCAGATTTGTATAGAATTACTTTAGGTTCTTTGATATTCAATTGAATGCTTGTTATAATTTTTTTTTAACCAAAATAGCTAGGGGCCATTCACTTATTACGTAACGCTTTTAGGGGGAGGGGGGGGGGGGGGGGGTCTAAGATTTTGTTACGATTCAAACAAGGAAATTTTTTTTTCATACGAATTTTGTTACGAGGGGGGGGGGGGGGTCTAAGAAGTCATTTTTTCCCGTTACGTAATAAGTGAACAGCCCCCTAGTTTAATCTAAGAATTTGGAAGATTTGATCAAGAGGTTATTAACCTGGGCCCCCACGAAAAAAAAATATTCGTGAGTGATGCTACAAATTTCAAAGTTATTTTATCTTGTAGGAAACAAAAATTTCTATCTTTTGACATACAACTTACTTCCTAAAGTTAAGCAGTTATATCGGAAAATCACTTTAACTAAGCGTCACTCACGAATAATTTTTGGGAATTTTGCCATAACTTTGTCAGTTTTCATTGATATATCTTCAAATGTATTTTTTTAGATCATAAATTTTATTCTCTTTTGTTTGGCTTCAAAAAAAGTAATAAATTGTCCCCGAAACAAACTTAAATGAACAAAATTAAGTTAAAAAAAATTTAACGGTTTTAAATTTTTTGAATTTTTTCTGTCGTGAGATGCTTGTTTACAAACAAAACTTGAAATATAATTTAAAAAATCATGAAAATATCACTCAATAATGATGCTAAAGCTCTCAAAATAGGCAGAATAGCTAATGTATCATCTACTTTTCGTAATCATATCATAATATTTGGGAATAATGATTGAATAATTAAGATATTTGAGAATTTAATTTTTGATGTTTTGTAAGATAGGTTAGTGAATTTCAAATTTAATTTTTCCGTTGAGCAATAATCCTAAAAAAATCGTCGAGGCCCACCTGTAATTTGCTAAGTTCCCTTAAGTTAAAGAAATGAGGAACAAAGCTTCAATTTGCTCAAAATTCTAATATTAGTTCCAAAAGTGATTAGGAACAAGATTATTTGACAAAATACCAAAGAAACAATAACAAAACCTCTTCTAAATTGAAAATCAATGAACTGGATATAAGTACTCCATTAAATATCAATCAAACAATCAAATCATCAACAAGACAAATCGATAAAATCAGATTAAAGCTTCAAAGTTGAAATTAAACTTTCACTTTCATTCTCCATCATCATTTCCACTCAAACACAAGACAAGATATCCATCTTAAATCTTGGTATGTGATTCATGTATCTCAAGTTACGCCAATAAATCTCTTTTTTTTTCTCGTGTAGATGAGGTAGGAAGAAGTCGAAAAGATTCAACAGTTTATCGCTCTTACAAGTTCTGTTAACATTATCATGTAATCTAGAATAGAGATGGGGTTCATTCATTAATAAGGTTTTATACGGAACCAGAGGGATTTATTTCATTAAACGTTTGTAACAAAGTAGAGAGGGTAGGGGGTGCCTTAAAAACTAGCACGTAACATGTGAATGGCACCCAAGGAAAAAAAGCTTTTAAATCATAAATTGTTTGCAGAGTACTTTACTCTATTATAGGAGATGATACGAGGAGGTAGAAAGGAGAAAACTTTCTATGCTGTACAGTCGTGAAAAAGTGAAACAAGGAATAGAGAGGATGTTGTAAAAATAATCTGACAATTTATATCTACTTACAACTCATTCCACTTAAGGATGCATGCACATTTTGTTTAGTATTTTGTTGCTTAATATGCTGGATATTAACAAACTTTTTTAATACGGCAATGAAATTTTACTTTTTATTTCTTTGATAAATTAAACAATTCTGTTCATTGGCAGCACAATACAGGACAACAATATATTGAATTTTTTTTTTTTGGGAAGTAAATGATGGAAATTTATTAGTCATCAAGGGAAGCATTAGAAAAGGCTTTTTTAGCTTTAATGAGCAATTTTCAATTAATTAGCTCATAAAATCAATCTCCATTCAGTTTGCATTGAACAGAGAGCGAGGAGGGAAAACAATGTTTACAATCAGGAAGACTGGCGTGGTTGATTATTTAATAAAGTGTTTATTGCCATAACGATATTTATGTTAAGCACTCATCCTACTTCCTATGATGACAACTTAATGATTTGCTAAAATTAGTGTTTTTTGAGTCACAAAGAATTTTAATTAAATAACTATTGAACTATTTAAATGAGTTACAAGCCTTAGAAGTTCTGATCAAGCTTGTGTAAATTTATTTTATAATTGAACCGTTATAAATTCAAATTCTTTTCCAATCTATTAAATTCAAATTTCTGAAATCCGTTAATAATTCAAATTTTTTGAAAAGCAAAATTCAAAAATTTGAAAGACGTTAGAGATTCATAAATCGAAGGAAAATCATCATAAACCTTAACTCTTATACATGCTACGATGCATATAAGCTTTCACATCCTAATTGAGTTAATAACTTCTATCTCACCCTTTCTAGTGATTAATTCCGATGAAATATTATTTAGATAGTTTCAAGATGAAAATTCAATGCTATGTGATTCTTCTAACATTGACTTATACAGCTACATTGGTGCTGTCTGATACAGCCTCACAGAATTCTGCATCAGATAAATTATCATCATCATCGCTTATTCTTCCGATTGATAATGCACAGCGTGTAGAGCGCTCACCAAAATATGGTATATCTTATCTTTTATATCCACTTAATGACATTAATCATATCAACATATTTACAGATTTTGGACTTGGAAAGCGTCGATATTTAGTAACTTCAGGAGGGCCGGGAAAAAAACGACTACCGCACTAGTAAGTCCATAAATAATACATGGATCGTACATATTAATAAATTTACTAATATTTACAGCAATTTTGGCTTAGGAAAGAGATCAAAGTAAGATTTAGTTCCTATAACGATATGACCCACTTTTTTTACGCATCTCAAATGTCATTCTTCTTTTCTCTTCTTATCTCTTATAGTCCATATGCCTATCAATTTGGTCTCGGAAAACGTGCTGATTCTGATGACTTCTCGAATTATGAGGATGATAATGACAATGCAAACTATGACAAGGCAAACATAAATTTAGAGGACTGGAATGACGGTGGCTACATGGATAATAAAAATGATATCGATGTGCTGGATTATGGCTACAATTATGCATATCCAAGAGGTCAGTTATTCTCTGTTTTAATTAGTTGATGTTCTGAATAATTGGTTCTTGTTTCATTCATTATATTTTCTTAATTTGATTGATTCTGCTTTAATTTAATTAATTTTATTGTAATTTTTGAACAACTTGTGCATTTATTAATCAAAAAGTCCGGTAAAAATGATTTTAGATGTTTTAAAACCATACAAATTCATATATTGTTCGACATTTGTAAGGTTTTGATTTCAAACATTCAAATTAATTTCAATGATCTTTTTTTAAAACAATACAAATTATTTTTGAGAACAGTGCAAATTCTACAGAAAATTAACATTTGAAATGTTTTAAACATAAAATTCAAAATCATTTTTAACGGAATTTTAAAAGAATTTATAATTAATTGAATTTATTGATTACTTGTAGAATTCAAGCGCGCACGACAGTACTCATTTGGCTTGGGAAAGAGAAAATACGCAGACGAACTTGACAAGAGACTACCTAACAGGTAAAAATTCGATAAAATATTCATTAAAATGCTGGAAATAAATTTAATTAAAGCAATTTTTAATCACACACAGATATAACTTTGGACTGGGAAAATAAGATGAGGAAGATGATTAAATTGTATTCATACAAGGCATAAAAAATGACACCAGCGGATCATATACACAACACACACATTTTCCGGATAGGATTTTCGTTATAATTCCCACATATTAAAAAGTGTGAATATTTTTTAATTTTCTCATCATAAATCCAAAGAACATAAAAATTTCGCAATTCTTTGTGTATCTGATTGTCCGTTACTTACCTTCATCAAAAAAATACTTTTTTCTTCTTATCCTTAACAAAAAAAATTGCTTGTTGTTGTTGTAAATAATATACAAAAAAGAAGTAATAATTGAGAAAAACTAATCAAAAAAGCAAGAAAATTAAATGTTTCCAGAAACAGACGCAGCAATTTCCCTATTTAAAGGCAGCTAACAATCAACATAAATCTGCTAAAAACATATTATTATACAAATATTTTTTGTGCATATTCTATCGAATCTAAATATATATTTACTGGTATTTAATAATATGAAGTATTTAAAAAAATTGTTGAGAGATGAAAATTGAAGGAAAATGTGAATTATTTTTTAAAAAAAAATCAAAATTGAGTGCTTTTAAGTCACTTTTCCATCGGATCTCGCACACACATTTATGAGAGCCAGGTGATTTAAACGAGTTATTGGGGATCAATATTAATAACTAATGTCTGATGGAGGAATGACATGAAAGCATAAATCATACAGCCCAAAACACATAAAACATTGTAAATTTTATCAGAAAAAGACATAATAAAAATGGGAGATGCCAACTTTAAAAACATTTATGGAATAAACAAAAAAAAAAAAATAAGAAAAATAAAAAGCATTGTGTCTAATGATGTTGAAAACGCATCTAATTGTTAAAGGATTAAATCTCAAATATTTTTTTATTATTATTAATCTTTCGTTATTATTATTTCTGTGAACGAGTTGCACAAATACATAAAAAAATATATATATAGTTAAAGTGAAAAGCAACAACTTGTAATCTAAATCTGAATAATTAATGATTTCTTTAAGGATATAATAATAATAATAATAATAAAAAAAAATATAGTATAAGTAAGGATAAACTGCTAAGAGACTGTTACTTCACATTAGTAATATCCAATGCAGCGAGGACGCAATCGAACGCAAATACAGACGAGTAAAAAATGTATGGATGCATTCTTACGACGCCATAATCAGGCTCAAGTGACGGAAGTTGACGACATTGTTTTAACATTTCAGCTGTAATAAAGCCTGAACTATAAACCGTTGGCTGATGACGTAATTGCAATTGATAATCTTTCTTGTACTTGATAAGAGAGATCGATTGGAATCCAATTGGACGTCGAGAGTTCTTTCTCATGTTCTCTTTGCGTAATACATTTTGTTTAATTTGACTCATTATGTATTCGCCATCCTTCATCATCATAAAGTTACGTATAATCTGTAATCACAAAATATATTTATGTCATTAATAACATTTTGTCACAACCTTATCTTTCATGACGCTATTCATTTAATTGAGTCATTTGTGATTGTAAAATAAAAAGTCTAAAGACTTAAAAAACTGCCAAGTTCAAAAATTGAACCAGTAATTTTCAAATCACAAAAAGCCGTTAAAATAAAAAAAGCTCAATTAAAAGCAAGTCTTGAGATAATAACTCACCCTCTTCTTTTTCTTGCAATGAGCAAACACCCAAATTAGTGTACAGAGTGTGTTGAAGATTCCACAGTCTTTATCGCACCATCGAAGCAACATTTGTGCAATAGTAATAAGACCACTTTCCTGTAAAGGTAATATTAAAGCATGATTACAATGCATATTATTGCACCAGCTGCAATTTACCTGAAAAGCATCTTCTTTTGTTGCATGATATCGTCCTAAATTCAATATGATACAACTGCACAGCTCAATAATTTGTTTATCAACCTCAGATCGAATAGCTTGACCCATAATACCCATACAAAATGCAGAAATGAATTCAGCATCATCATTCAATATCCAAGGAACTGTTCGCGCCATATATTCCAATTTTGCAAGAGCTGTGATAGCTAAGCTCGAGTCATATCGATATTTGAGGAAATCAATAGATACTTTTAGCTTTGCAGCAAGCGTTTGTGTTGGATCGACATTTTTACTGACTTTCATCAATCTCTGAACAATGGCAACAAAACATTTATTGCTCTTCTTGCTTCTTTCCTTGTATCCACGATATGCTGCCTGTATTGTTCGTGCTGACTTTTGTCTTCTTCTTTCTTCGATTCTTTCAGGTGTTTTCATCTCTTGGAATCGCTTTCGTGCCAAATATCCTCTCGCATGTGTCTGAATCTTAACAATCATTTCTCTTGACTTGATAAATTGTTGATGGATTTTGCGAGTTTCAATCTTCGAACGGAATCGACGTTGAACGTAAATTGTTTCATTTTTAAGTTTGCTGAATTTTTGCTGCTCAATTTTCTTCAATTTATTGGCAATTATTCGATTTTCTATCACCAAAACTGTCTTTTTTAGTGTCAAAAATTCATTTCGAACTTTAATCATTTCCTGGCAAGACCTGAACCATTTCTGGATCTTAATTATGGCACATTTTTGCTTCTTAAACTCTAAAACAGCTTGCTGCATTGCTTGATTAGCACGGAATTTCCTCTGCATCCAAATTATACGACTGACAGCATTCTTATACTCATCTCTCTGTTTACGCATTTCTAATAATCCACGCCAATGTCTTTGAACATTTATTATGGCAGTACGTTTTTGTAAGAATTCTTTGCGAATTTCTCGCATTCTCAATTTACTTCGATATCTTACTTGCATCATTTTGATCAGGCTGATTTCACGAATGTAGTGCGCTGAAGGAAGATAACAAAAGAAAATTCAATTTTTGGAAAGATTAAAAAACTAGCCGTTATTTTTCAAAAATTTGTTTTAAGCATAACTTTCAAATTAATTTCTACCGTTATTTTTAAAGCTCAAAATTTGAACTTAGAAATATTCAAATTTATTTTAACTGTTATTTTTCGAATAAGTGTCAACTGTTTTATTTGATGTGTTAAAAACAATTAAACTCACTCAGAATCTCCCAAATATAATAAATAACTTCAATATACTCACATTTATGCTGTTTCATAAGCAGTCTTCCTCTCCAAAATCTTTGAATTTTTATTGCAGATTCCTTTTGCTTTAGGAATTTTCGTCTTTGCGCTTTCATTGCTAATCGTGCTCGATAATGCTTTTGAATTGAAATTGCTGCAGACTTTAATACCAAGAATTTTGACTTCTGTTCCTTCATATTTATATAGCTACGATAGAAAGTCTGAATCTTAATTGCTGATTTCTTTTCAATCAAAAATTGAGTTCGATCCTTCTTCATTGCTCGATTAGCACGGAATCTATGCTGCACAAAAATTATCGAATTTATATCATTTCTATATAATTGACGCTGCTTCCTCATATCTAATGTGGCACGCCAATATTGCTGAATATTAATTATCGCAGTACGTTTATGTAAATAATCTTGTTGAATTTTACGCATCATTAGATATCCTCTAAATTTAAGCTGAATTTTTGTCACACATTCTCTCAATGTCATGAACTCGAATCGCTGTTTACGCATTTCCAAGTAGCTTCTCCAATATTTTTGTATCTTTATTGCCGATTCTTTTTGTTTTAAGAACATTGTGCGTTGAATTTTCATTTCCAGCCGTGCTCTATAATGCTTCTGTAAAGCAGATGCAGCTGTTTTTATATCTAAAAAGTTTTTTTGGTCTTCCTTCATCTTCATATATCCACGGAAATACTTTTGAATTGTAATTGCTGAATTTCTAGTCTCCAAAAACTCTTTTTGTATCGATTTTGTCAATAATTTTGAACGATAAAACTTCTGAACGAACACAATCGTACTGACAACTTTTTGATACTCAATTCTCTGCTTACGCGTTTCAATCGTGCATCGCCAATATTTTTGAATTTTAATAATTTCTTGACGAATATAAAGAAACTCTTTGCGGCATTCACGCATCATTAAATTAGCTCGGAATCTGTTCTGAACTTTTATCACATTTTCTTTCAGTTCTACGAAATTAGTGCGCTCTTGTTTCGTGACTTGACGCGATCTCCAAAATCTCTGTATGACTATTGCTGACTTCTTTTGTTTGAGGTATTTTTGACGTTGAATTCTCATTGCTACTTGTGCTCGATAAGTGTTTTGGAAAATTATTGCTGCTATCCTTAATTCGAGGAAGTTCGTTCTTTGTTCCTTCATTTGTCTATAGCCTTTCCAATATTTTTGTATCGCAATGATTGAATTTCTTGTATTTGTATAATTTTCTCGTTCCTTTCTCATTGCCTGAATTGCACGGACTTTTCTTTGTATGAAAATGACTTTTTCAACATCTTTCTTGTATTTTGTTTGTTGCTTCCTCATTTCAAGTGTTGCTCTCCAAATTTGTTGAATTCTAATAACTGAATTTCTTTGATTTGTAAGCATTTGCATGTCTTTGCGCATTTGGAGCTTTCCACGATACAAATTTTGCATTTTTAATGTCATTTCCTTCAATTTCAAGAAATTAATTCTTTCCTTTTTCATTTGTTCGTAACCTTTCCAATATTTTTGTATTTTTAATGCTGCCTGATAACCCTTATCTCTAACTTCCTTCTGAATCTGTTCAATAACTATAGCTGAGGCTTGAATTTTCTTAATTAAAATTTGTCTTCGCCACCAAATTTGAATTTTTACAGTTGATACTTTCGTCTCAATAAAGACTCGACGAACTGATTTGGTGTACTTAATAAGGCGATATCGCTTTTGGACAAATTTTATTGATTTTTGTGTCAATTTGTATTGTTTTCTGGCTAAATATCCCCGACAATGTTTTTGAATGATTATGCAGGAATTTATTATTCGTACACGGTATTCTTTTGCAGATTGACGAGCTCTCCATCCACGGAAATACTGTGAAATAAACAAAAAAGAATTAATTAATTTTAACGAATTTTTTAAATTTGAATTTTAACCGATTTTTTAAATTTAAATTTTGGACTGAACAGAAATGAAATCAAATTTACTGAACGAATTTTTATAATATTTCAAAACCAAATTAGCGGTTTGTATACCTTTTGTATAACAATAGCTGCATTGTTAAGTTTTTCTTCCTCCTTCATCCTTATTCTTCTTTCAATAACAATCTTCAGCCATTTACTTCGCCAAAACTTTTGAATTGTCTTCGCTGCAGCATTAAATCTTGGAGCTCTAAACTTGTAGATAATCTGCCATAATAATGATAAAGTTTTCTCACGATGTCCATCAGCAATATCCTTTGCAGTGATATTTCCGAGAATCTTGTACTCAGCTGATTCTAGAGCTTTCAACGCCAGTTCAACGTTATGGACTTTTTGAAGTCTCGAGATTGCTGTAAAAGTTTGTAAGAAAAATTGTTATTAAAAGGACTTTTAAAGATTTTATAAATATTATTAAAATTAATCTGTTACAAGTACTAATACTTTTCAAAATATTGAATCAAAATAGATAATAGATTCTTTAAAAACTGTTTTGAGGCAATTCAGATATAGCTTAAATGTTATGAGAATTAAATTAAGACATTTATTTTATCTCAAAACACCCATTTATAAACTCGATACAATTATCGACACTTCACAATGAGGACTGTTATGTCTGAATTATACATCGTGCTCGTATTTTTCCCAATCTCCCACGCCATTTAAAACATTTAGTCTGTATTTTAATTTTAAATCATTTGATTTAAACCTAAAGCCATACAAATGTTTTTGAAATAAACCATACAAAGTTTTCTCAAATTTCTAGAACCTTTCAAATGTTTTTAGGACATAAAAGACAAGAAAAGTGGAATTAGAGCTTACCTGGCACACGAACTCTCTTAACCAAATCATCCCTAAGCAGTATAACTTCCATGACTTTTGTAAGACGAACACCATCACGTAAATCAATAGCCAAATTCTTGAATGCAAAATCATATTCATCTATGGAAATAAAACAGTCAATTAAAGATTATAAGCATCACTTACTTTATGCTACATACCAATGACTGTTTGTTTATGTGATAGAGTAAAATCGAGACGTTTAAGCATCCTCACAATATCTCCATAATTGGCCAAGACTAGTGATGCAAATTTCTTCAATATTTCTGCAGTTTCTTTGTAAGGAGCTGATTTAATGAACAGACATGGATTCTGCTTAATTAATCGATGTTCCTTTGCATGATCCAAAAAGAATATAAGGAAAAGGAAGTGCTTAGCTGTATGTTTCTTTAATTTATCAAGCAATTCCTGTTGTTGACTATATTTTGAATATTTCTGTTGTAAATACGGTGACTTGAACATATGCGTGATTATGAACCTGCTCATACCCAAAATATCCTGATTTGAATGCAAATTCAATTGGACATTAAAGACAACTTCCAAGCCTATACGAAGCCACAATGGATTAAAGCATAAAATCAGTTCCAATAAGCTTCTTTGTAGCACCATGTCCAAATGAATATTTCGAGCAGAATGGACTTCCAACAATTTCTTTTCATTAATAATTACAGCAAGTTTATTTAATGGTATGGATATTTCCTCAGAATGAAAGAATCGAACAGCCATCGAGCGTAATTGATCTAAACGTGCAGTGTAATATTGTGAGCAAACGAGTTCTTTTGTTGGTGCCAAAGTTAATTCCTTATTCTGAACATCATTGAACAATTTAGCAACATCAACTTTCTCATTTCTATCCGTCTCTAAATCTGGAGGAATTGTAACTAAAGCATTCAACCACTTTTTAAATGACTTTTCTATTCGATCAAGCGTAAGTTCATCTAAATACATTGAGGATGTTAAAAATGGATCTTCTGTTGTTGTTGCACAAAATGGATCTTTTTGTTTATAAGCATTTATGAAGTTCTCATTGTATAATTTACCAGAACTAACTGGCATTGAGCATGTCGATGATAATGAGGTAACACTAGACGATAATGATGTTAAAGATTGTGAAATTGTTGAACCAATTGACTTATGGCTAAATTCACGAGATGCTGGAAGTTTTGGAACTGCAAACATCTGTTGATTCTGTTGCTGCTTCCAAGTTGTTGCCCTGATGTCACGACCATTAGAATTTGATGATATAAAGAATGTCTCTCTTGGATTTATATCAGAAAGTTTGGTTCGTGGAGGTGAAAATGTCATAACTTTCTTTTTAATTTGTGTATTTGTACTTTCCAGTTCTTGTTCTTCCTTAATTCTTTGTATTGTCGGTGATGATTGCATTTTCTCACGCTGATACTTTGCTGGCGAAATGAATTTCTTTTTTTGATCAAATTTTAATGGACTTTCAGCTTTCTTTTGTTGTTTTTGTAAAACAGGTGATGAGCTCTTTGGTGGTTTTCCAATTTCATTTAAATTTAATCTTGATGATTGTGCACATGTTTCTAGTTCCTTAAAGTCAGTATTGCTTATGACACTTTCCATTGATAAATTTTGATTTCTTTCCTGATTAAAATACCGATTATGCTCAATGTGACGAACATTTATGTCATTTAAATTTGGCATTGATCCTTGATTAGCTTTTAGCTTTTCTATTTCTGATTGTGTTGGCATCTCAACTTGTTCGTTCATTGATTCTGATAAAATTCTGTCGGGATGTTGACATTCAAATGTTTCAGATCCAAAGTTATCATTAAAGGATCGAGATTTATTGATTTTGAATGTTGCTTGTAATTTTAAACCTTCTGGAAAGAACTCATTACATTCGGGCGTTTGAAAGTCTTCATTATCAGGCGTTGACAAAGTTGGCGTTAAGATTATTTCAATTTCATCAATCTCTTCTACACTTGGACCTTTTATGTATGTTAAGTGCTCATCAATCTCATCATCAAGGACTAATTTTGTTGGTAAACTATTTTGTTTTACAGGTAAATGACGTTTTGGTGTATCATCAATGACTTTTTGAGATGTTGCAATATTTCTTAACATATCTGGAGAAATTGCTTGATTTCGCGTGTCAACGTCCTTTGGAACAAATATATCATCTCTTTTTACAGCAATAGGCGTTGGTAAGGATGAAAGATACTCCAATTTACTCTCACATTTTGGCTTTGTCTCAGTCAATGGTGTGAATTTAATACTATCGAATAATGACGAAGCATTTGTTGGAGTCGCATGTTTGCCATTTTCCTTTCCTGTATTCAGACTTGGTGAATTGTACGTTTCTTCTTCATAATGCTGAATATTTGTTGCATTTCTAAGCGGTGATTTAACAGAATTGAGAATTGAGTTTGTCTTACGTTTTGGTGACATTGGAACTGTCAAATAATCTTTCTGTTGTTCCTCAACAATATAATTTTCCATAAATTCATGACGAACAGTATGGGAATGTGATACAGTTGATAAATGGCGGTTGAGATAGATTTTAGGCGGTGATGGTGCTTTGAGCTTCAATTTTTTATTATAATCGACTGGACCTGTTTTTCTTTTCATTGTCTTTTGTATTTCACATGATTTTAATATAACAGCAATACTCTTTTTATTTCCAAAGTTGTCACTTATTTCAATTACTTCACGGCAACTTACAGCTTTGAGTGGATTCCAAACAACTTCTAAATCAATCTTTCCTTCTGCTGTAATTTGATGTTCTAGCCATTCAAATGCAATATTATGCTCAGGTTTTGGTCGTTTTACAATTGTTATTTTAAGGACTTCAGGAAATGGATTAATAATTGTGATAATTCTACGAGCAGTCTTAGTTACAGGAACATCTTCGAATGTCACGATAGATTTTGCAGTAAACGGACGAAGATCCACAATTGTTGGTTCTCTGTCTTCATTCCGCTTTCTGGCATTCCTAATTCTTGTTGGAGTTACATTACACTGGAGATATAGCATAATTAAATGAAATTTAAGCATTTTTTGGAACGACTTATCCAATTTTAAGAAAATATAAAGATTAGAAATAATTAATTATCGATAATTACCTCGAATGCACTCATTTCATGAGTATTTTATTATTAGAAATGATGAAAGGCACTTGATTTCACTTAGTATTGATAGTTTCTGCTTTAATTATCTTCACAAACTTGAAAATATTTGACTTATGTTTTTTTTTTGAGATTCCTTAACGAATAATTCAAATTTTTTCCGTTAAGCAGGGTTCATCAACTATGTTGAATTTTTTTAAACTTAGATGATTGTTTCATAACAAAATTCAAAAAATAAAAGATCGTTGATTTTATGTTTTAACGGTTTTATGAGATATTAATTCTAGCAAATTAAGCTGTAAAATTAATTAAATGAGAACGATTCACAGAGTTTTCATTAAATATTAATAAACTTTATTATTATAGATAGGTAGTTTAAATTTCTGTAGAGATTTCACACATTACATTACATTACATTTATTCACGTTATAGGGAAGATAGGAGATAGATATGAATGGAATCATTAATTGATATAGGTAAAAGAGAGAGAGAGAGAGAGAGACGAAATAGAATTAAGAGATCAAAACCACTGTTATTACTCTAAAATATTATTTAATCAACGTCGTCCTCAACATCGTCAACATCCTTTTTCTTATTGCTCTCAATTATTCGACTATTTTCACTATTAATTCGATTTGAATTGAAAATGTGATTTCCTTCATTATCTAAGTCAGTTAAATCCTCATCCAAGTCTTCGGTTTCTTCTGGTTTCTTCTTATAGACTTCTTCAGGCTCCTCATAATCATCATCTTTTCGTTGATTGACTCGTAAAGATCCTCCAACATAATAGCCTGGAAAGTAGGTTGGCTCAACTTCTGCACTTTCTTCTTCCTCAATGTTTTCAGAGTTGTCGTCGGGACCAGGAAATGGATCTACTGCTAAATATGACAATACAAATCCTTTGAATCCCATTGAATCATCCGAATGGAATCTAATCATTAATTCTTCATGCTCTGAGATTATATCTGATGGAAGCTGTTGGAAATGAAAATAGAATATTTGTTAATTTCACCCAAAAAAAAAAAACTAGTTTATTTAACTTACAGCATTTCCACAAAATCTGCCATGCAATCGACCAGACGAATCATCAACGCCACTATAGACTTCAAGATAGTCATAAGCACAAGTCTTTTCCTCTTCAATCTCAAAGGACGTAAATGTTATTTGGATATTTCGACCCCGTGCTGCTTCAATGACCCATTCGCAGTCAGAACCCTCATACATTTGATCGCCATATTTTGCGTGAGAATAAATATGCTTTAATTTATTTGTTGCTTGTAAATGTCCTCCACAAACCGTCGAATGTGTTGCGAAAAATCCTTTACGGTGAACACTAGCATCTGAATTGAAAATCATATACATTGAATTTGTTGAAGATGAAATGGGGTGCGGTAATTTTGAACCACAAAATCTGTCAAAGAAAAAGGAACAAGAAATCTTTTTTGTGTATTTATTTAGGCGTTGACATTAATCGTAAATAATTACCTTCCCAAACTGTGACTATCTGGAGAATTTCCATCATAAATTGCAACATGGTCGTATGCGCACTCTTGATGGGGTTCAATTTCGAAAATATTAAAAACTAAACGAATTCGGTGACCAGGAGTTGTTGTAAAGTGCCAAATGCAGTCCTTTTGTGGTGGATAAAAGTCGGGATAGTTTGGGGACGAGATATGCCCATTTGGTGAAGTTATTTCAAACTTGCATCCCCCCTCCTTACAATCGTGTCCATTATCATGAAGTGTGAAGCCATTATGGCAGAAACATTGGTACGATCCCAACGTATTTCTACATTCATGTTGACATCCACCATTATTTTCAGAGCATTCATCAACATCTGTCAAATAAACTGCAGCAAAACCCGTTTTTTGTATAGTCTTATCCGATTTAAATTCTATTCGCAAAATATTTCCTTCACTTGTAATTGAATTAGGTACTTTACTGCCACAAAACACGCCATGCTTCTTCAATGAATCGTCATTCATTTTCGAATATACGGTGACTGAAATGGAGTTTGTATCATGTCTCAATAAATTTAATTTTTCATACCTATTTGCATTCATATACATTTATAAATTTATTTTTCTCGGTACACAACTCACCTGCATCATATTCACAAGCTGCTGGCTGATAAAATGCATTGCCTTCCAAATCAAAGTGAGTGAAATTCAATGTGATTTTATGATTTTCAGGTGCTATTATTTCCCAAAAGCATTCCTTATTTATCGGATATTCACGTGGAAAACTATAAAAATGATGACGATAAAGAATGAAAAATGCCGCATTCAACAATAATGCTTTTAAACAATGATTCTAGTTTCTAAAACTATGTTCAGCCAAGGGATTATTTGCTTATGTCGTGTTTAGTTTTATGAGAAGATTTGAGGTTGATTTTGAACTCTTTGAAGTTTTAATAGAGTCGAACTCTAGTAGGGTTTGGGGAACCTGTTAACAGAAAACAGAAAAACAGCTGTTTTTGACAAAAATCTGTTAACAGAAAACAGGTCTCATTAAACAGATCTGTTTTCGGTTTTTCATTTTTACATATAATTTACAGAAAAAAAAAATTTCTTAATTTTTTGAAGAACTTAATATAATTTTCTAGCATTCCAAATTGAAACGTTTTTACTATTTTAATATTTTTTGGATGTTTAATAGCTTTGAAATCATTGTCAAATTTATGATTAATCATTATTAATTTTGCAATCGAACTTTTATATTCAAATAAAATATTAGAGTTTATGGAACTTTTGCAAACCTCAATCTAAAAATCCCTAAAATGCAGCTACCCTAAAATGCAAATAGTACTGCCAAGATGCAGATGGAACTGCTAAAGTCAGAGAATCAAGAAAAAAAAACATCGAATATGATGCAGTTTAAAAAAACTATACGATCTCCATTTGAGCAGCATCTTATCTGCACTTTATACGGTAAAAATCATCTGCATTATACCTTTTTTAAAGCAACAGCATTTCATCTGCATTTTAGGGAAAATAAATTTTATCTGCACTTTAGCAGTACCATCTGCATCTTGGCAGTACTATCTGCATTTTAGGGTAGCTGCATTTTAGGGATTTTAGGGATTTTTAGATTGAGGTCTTTTGCAATGCAACAATGCAATGTTTCTTAAAAGTATAAATATTTTTTTTGCATTTTTATATTTTATAGAGTTAATTAACGAAAAATTAAGAAATAATAATGCTTAGCTCTATAATGTATGCTTTGCTTATAACCACCTAAAAGTTTCATTATCTTAGAGAAACACTTAGGATAACTCAGTTTATTTTGAATTTTAGAAAAACAGGAAAACAGCTGTTTTTAAAAATCAAAAACCGAAAACAGACTGTTTTTCAAAAACAGCTGTTTTCCACAAACCCTAAACTCTAGTCATACAATCGAGATTTAACCTAGTTGGATAATCGAGTTTGAACTTTGCGGATAATCGAGTTTGAACTTGGTCGGATAATCGAGTTTGAACCTAGTCGGATAATCGAGTCAAACTCTAGTCAATCTAAATTTTAACCTGTTAAAATAAAGTAATTTACTAAAAGTCGTTCAAAATGATTTAAAAATAAGAAGATAAGCAAATGTAGTTTTTTTTAAATCCAAGACGAGATTGACACGAGAGAGTGCCTATTAAAATAACGAATTTTAAAATTTCGAAACTTCATTTTTACGAACTCACATTTTTACGACCATATCATTTTTACGAAAAATTATTTTTTCGACTTTTTTATAAATTTTAAATTCTAAAATATCGTTAATTTCATCACATGTTTTCTTTAATAATAAATCGCAGAAAAAAAGATTAATAGAACAAATTTTTTTAAATGTATAGAATTAAAACGTATTTTTTATTCAATATCACATTTTATGGACTACATGTGTATGTTTAAAGGAGTAACAAACACAATTAAGCTCTTAAATCATTTTTGACTCCTGCAATAGCCTTTAATGTTTCAACTCGTGGCACGGATTTTCGACGGTTCAGGATTGATTTAATGGAATGCTCTGTCTTTTCAAAACCTGGCATTCTATGCTTTTGTGGCTTTCCAGCCAAACATTTGTCAATATCCATTTCGATAGACACAAATTCTTTCCTTTAAACATACACATGGAAAACAACAAATGTGATATTGAAAAAAAAAATACGTTTTAATTCCATACATTTAAAAACATTTGTTCTATTAATCTTATTTTTGCAGATTTATTATTGAAAAGAACACGTGATGAAATTAACGACATTTCAGAATTTGAATTTTATAAAAAAAGTCGAAAAAATAATTTTTCGTAAAAATGATATGGTCGTAAAAATGAAGTGTTCGTAAAAATGAAGTTTCGAAATTTTAAAATTCGTTATTTTAATAGGCACTAGACACGAGAACATTACTTGAAAATTGACAATCCCTTGACTGCACAACATAAATGTTATCTCACCCACCTCGGAGAATAAATGGTACCATTTGATGCATCTAAAATACCTCCACAAGCAGTCTCACAAGATTTTTTATTACTGTGTAATTCATAGCCTAACTGACATGAACATTCGTATCCTACACGAACAGCGACGAGAGAAAAATGAAAAAAATTTTGATTAATTGATGTGAAGATTTTTTTTGTATTTAGTTTTTCAGAAGGAGAACCTACCACCCAAAGTATTAATACACTCGTGTTCACATCCATGTTCATTTAATTCTGAAATGTAGACAAAAACAGGGATAAATTGTTGTTGTTATTTTATACATTAAAATTGATATCGGTCGGTTGTGCAAACTTTAAGCAATCAAAAAATTTGACTCACCACACTCATCAACCTCTTTCATAAAGGTCGCTGAAAATCCAGCTTTTTGTACTGAACCATCAGATACGAATTTAACAAATAATTTATTTGAGGAAGATCTCATGTCAGGTGGAGTTTTATAGCCGCAAAAAACGCCAATTAATCTCGAATCGGGAGTATCGCCATCCCTCACTTCCACATAATCGTAAACGCAATTATCATGATTCTCAACTTCAAATGATTGGAAGTGAAGCGCAACTTGATATTCTCTCGGAACTGTAATTTTCCATATGCATTCTTTACTTGGTAAATATTCGAGTGGATAATTTGGTGATTCAAGTCTTCCGCCTGTTTCTAGATCCACTTCACCGCCGCAAATTGCTGTCGGATAGAAAATTGTGATTATTAAAACAAAATTGTCACGTGACTGTAAAGTGAATTTATAAATTTTTTACATTTTTTAAATTTAAAACTTATCGTCTTTTTGATGACCGTTCAAAACACCTAAAGATTTAACCTCTAAACATTTCAAATTTATAAAACCTAAATTTTCTGCATCTAGAGTTTTTAATCTCTAGATACATTTGTACATAGGTTTTAAAAACTAATGGAAAAATCATTAGAAGTAAAGAACTGCACGTGTAGTTTATAACTTCTATATACATTTATATATAGAGATTATAAACTGCATGTGCAGTTTTTAATTCCTAATGAAAAAATCATTAGAAGTAAAAAACTGCACGTGCAGTTTTTAAAACCTATATACAAATGTTTATAGAGATTAAAAACTCGAATTGCAGAAAATTAATCCTCGGATTTAAATTTAAGCTTTTTGCTGGATTAACCAATTTTGATATGATTTTAAAAAAATAAAATTTTACTTAAATTAACAACATATTTTTTGATTAGAATGTTGTTTATGAAAATAAAATAGTAAATGAATATGTTAAGCTGATTTTCGTAAAGCGTAAGTTTAGTGAAATTAAAGTATTCAAAAATTTTATAATTTCAAGTTCGATAAGAATTATAACTCATATCTTGCGATCGAGTTTTCGACCACTTCTACTGCTCCAATACAATATTCATATTTTAAATGCAATTGAAGCTCTCAAATATTGCGACATATTTTATGAATGCGCATGACTCTATAATGAAACTTTCAAATCTGTGGTTGGCAAACGGATCTTATTTTTAAAACTAAATCCGTTATAAATTTTAGCCAATCAGAAAATTTTGTGGATTTTTAGACAAAATCTTTCGGTTTTCTTACAGAAAACAATATTTAACACAAAATAAATGTGCATTCTTTGTTTTAAACTGTTTATGGATTCACTATTTTATCTAATTTTGAAAAAATTTCGTCTTTTCTTTTTCATATATTTTTGTTCAAAATGTAAACAAACATGAGGAAGGAAAAAATTCTTTTTAGAAATCCCAGAATTAAGTACACTAAATGCTATATTTATGAATATCAGAGTGTTTTCTGACCAAAAAAGAGGGTGAAATTATTAAAGTATCACATTATTTAAAAGCAATATGACTTAAAAACAAATAACGTTTTTCCTGAATTTAAATTTTCCCGCCTGAAATAAAAAAAAATTCAAATTCAAATCTTTTAAGTTTCAACTGATTTTATAAGCTCTTTGCCGACCACAGGATTTTTTAATTTCGAATGAAAAACACCTGATGAGTGAGTTCAGAAATTCGAATTTATTTCTATCGTTATAAAATTTGTAGTGTTCGAAATCTCACCGAAAAACTCGTGAGAAAAATTTTCTCAGAGATTTTCTCAATCTCAATTTATGAAGTCACAAGGGAAAAGTTTTCAAAAAATTTGTTTGAAAATGGAATCAGAACCTAAAATTGAGAAAATAAAGATTTTTGAATTTTTGGGCACTGGATATGGTCAGTTCCGCAACTTTGAATGATAAATAAAAATTCATTTTAAATCATCTTTAGGATGGCAAAGCATTTGTTTTAAAATTCAAGCGAAAAGGGGCTCAACGGCTAGTTCCTCACATTCAGCAATGCTTAAAGAGATCAAAAAAGCATCCAGAGGCATTGAAGCTATAAACTGATATATATTCAAAAAGAGGAACACAGTGAATAACAGATCCATAACCTCTGTGTTTAAAAATGTCATACACAATTTTTCTCACGAGTTTTTTGGTGAGATTTCGTACCATCGAAAGGCTTGTGAAAAGACCAAGTTTTGTTCAGCATATGTTTGAAGGTAAAACACTTAACGAGTAAAATTAAAAGTGATTGAATGATAGATATTAATAGCTAGAATAGTTTCAAGGAGGTTTTGACTTGAAAAATTTAAGATTTTAATGAAAATTATTATTTTTTCTTGTTGGTTGCAATTTTTTAACAAGCCACTAAACCTTATTAAGCCTTTTTTTCACTTTTTTCATCGTATAAACAACTGGCTTGTAACGTAAAAAAAAGGAATTGAAATAACGTTTGACTAAAATAAACACAGCTTAAAATTCATAAACTTAAACTTAAAGAAAAAAAAGAAGAATTTATATTAGTAGTCTTGTAAAAAACATACTCAAAACTAGAGATTTCATACAGGCCCAAAATTTCAATCCCGGGATTACGGTATTGGAAATTGTTGATCCAGTTCAGAAACTACGGTTTAAAAGAAAGACAAAGTTTTTCCAAATGTATCAATATTTCCTTTTACTGTCTTGTTGAACTTTTTAACTTTACAATTGAAGCTTTTGTAAATTTTCATAAAGATTATCTTTTAACCTTTCAAATCAAAAATGATTTAAAATTTTACGTAAAAATTTGATTATTCTTTTGTAAAAATTTTTAAAACTTTTGTTTTATAAAATATCAAGAACTTTAATTTTTATTTCAAATAATAGATTTTATCGCAGCTTTATTAGAGATGCATTCGAATGATCATAAAATCTATTTTAAACTTAAGATTGAAGCTTTTCTAATCCCAGGATATTGGAAAATTGGTCCGGACCCCGGGATCCCGGTTTTCGGGATCTCGGGATTGAAATTCCTACTCAAAACCGTTCAAATGATCAAAATTGGTTAATTCAGCAAAAAGCTAAAATGTAATCTCTATATACATTAGTATATAAAATGTTTGTAATCTCTATATACATTAGTATATAGGTTTTAAAAACTGCACGTGCAGTTTTTTACTTCTAATAATTTTTCCATTAGTTTTTAAAACCTATGTACAAATGTATCTAGAGATTAAAAACTCTAGATGCAGAAAATTTAGGTTTTATAAATTTGAAATGTTTAGAGGTAAAAAACTTTAAATTTAAAACTTATCGTCTTTTTAAAATTTTAAATAACAACAATATTTAAAATTCGTCAATAAAAGTTTCACAATTGTGCCAAGTTAAACAAAAACCGCATTTCCAACACAGAAATATGCTCGGAAATGTCATTAAAAAATTTTAAAGGACATTCTTCTCCATAATGAATAAAAATCTCATTTAAATATTTCGTCACAATGCTATAGAATATCCATACATACCCTCGTAAGCTGCAGCAAAGCCTCTCATTCCTGGCTGTTGCATGGAACTGACAAAAGTCAACAGCATTCTCGATCCAGTCGTTGTAATAAGTTCATTGACTTTTCCACTTCCACAAAATCGTCCAAGTATCGGTGACTTGTGCCAGTATCCATCTCGAATCTCTAAGTAGTCACTACGGCAATTATCTGATTTAAAAATATCCTATGTAGGCGTAGACAAAAAGCATATAGCGGTTAAAAAGAGTGTCAATTGCATTTTAGTCAAATTATGTCTTACTAAATCTGTTATATTGAGAACAATTCGTTCTCCGTGAGTTGCTGTAATTCTCCATTCACATCGTTCGGGTTCGTTTGTAGATATGTAATAACTGGGCGATGTAAATGAACCCGAATTTTCTTGAAATGTTCTTCCACACACTTAAAAGAGATTTTTAAATTAAAATTTATTGCCTAATATACCTCATTAGTAACTTACTTGGGCATTTGTAGAGGAGATTTGCCTGAGATACATCCCCTTCACTTAATCGAATTCTCTGACCTATTTCAGGACGTTTTTTACCGGGTATATCAATTGGAAGAATAGTTTCAAGGTATGTTCCTTTTGAGAAAGTATTTTTGGCATAGTGCATAATTGAGTCATAGTCATATGGCTGACCTAATGAATTGACATCCTCTTCAGTTAATTTATTGAAATTATATTCCTGTCCTGTCATTATATTTGGCTTATTAATAACAACATGATTTTCACGATCCGGTCGTGTATGTTCATGCCAAAATCCTACTACATGTCCCAACTCATGAACAACGATTCCAAATTTATCACAATTTTTACCAATAGATATAGCTTGAGGACCTTGTCCTCTTTTACCAACAAATGAACAACAACCGCATTGACGTTCGGTAAAAACAATGTAATTAGGATGATCAATTGGATTTCGTTCAACGAATTTTATGCATGTGAAGTTCTCCCAATGCTTCATTGCTGTGAATATGTCGAATATGTAAATTCTGTAATTAGTTGGAATTCTTTGAGTAAATAAACAAAATTTTACCTTGTTTGAACAAAGCTTTGTGTGCACCGCTAAAATTAGCATCAATTTCATATGGAATGACACCAAAATCCCAAATTCTGTCTTTTTTGGCTGTTGCAGCACGAGTCACACGATGATGTACTGAAGATGATAGATCAACAGTTGCATCTTGTTGTGCTGCAAAAATATCAGCAAGATTTATTTCTAATGCCTTCTTTTTATTTTTCTTTGTACGTTTTTCAAGTTGTTTTGGCTTTATTTGCTTTTCTGGTGGTGATTCAGAGGGTCTAGCCAATTCATGACGTAAGCGAGCAACTTTTGCCTCATAATTATCTTTTGTATTTGAAACTGTCACATTAGATTTTTGCTTGTTTTGTCGTCTATTTCGATGTCGTTTCCGATTACTTCCTTCCATACTCAAAATTTGAACATTATCAATATTTCCAGCACTACCACCTGAGTTTGAATATATATTTGGCAGTGTAGTTCTCGGTATAGGCGTTGAAGTTGCTGGCACGATTTTACGAAAGCCATTCAACATCAAATTATCCCCATCATCGTCAACAATGTCTTTTGTATTCGATTGAATCTTCTTTGCATCAATATTTCTCAATGTGAAATTTTCAGAATTCGTTTTATTGACTTTTTCATTCAACAATTTTGTCTTTGAAGATGTCTGATTTCTGTGCTGTGATAAATTAAGAATTATATTCTCATTGTTTTCAATTACTGTTGCATTAATTTCCGGTTCGAATTCAATATCCGCCGTCGAGTGCTGTGCTTGATGATGAATTTTATAAGGGATTGAGGATTTTGTTGCTTCGTTGCTTGACGATTCCTATGTTGTAAAATAGATAGTGTAAAACAATATGATCACGAGCAGTACATGAAAATTTTTATTGACGACACAGCATCTTTAGGAGCTTATAATTTCCAAATGAATTAATAAAATGTGTTGTTAATTGTCCGAGGTCTAGTGAAAGACTAAATATTTGTGTGAAACGTGGTAAACACCTATTAGGATGTAAATAGTACTTAAATCTCGAATTAACGTTTGTAAATGATTCACTAGATGCCATGACGTCAATAAACAGTTTCTATGCGTTGCTCGGGGCAAATACTTGAAAATGAGAACACAATAAATTGCTCCTTACCAACGCTTCATTTAATATTTTATCTTCAGTTCGTTTTGACTCTTTATCCTCAATCGTTATTGCTTGTTTGATTTTCTTCCGTAAAACATCTGTTAAGCCTTCCTCCTCGACTTGTAAACCCTCGAGATACACTTCCTTTTTAAGCTTCTCAAGCTCTTGTTGTGTACTTCTACTCCTTTTTAAATCATAATCACTCTCATAATTTGCGTCAGGCAGTGCAATGTCTCCGAGAAAATTACCTAATAAAAAATGGAAACATTGTGTCATTTCTAAAATATAATTTTAAATTTACATCAAACAGAACATCGCTTGACAATTAATAAAAAATTTGTTTATAACTATGAAAAGCATATGACGACCTCTTAACCTCAATTATATTAATTACAAATATCGTAAACAGCTAGCAAAAAATGTATGTAATCACTTAAATTGTTTTGCAAACTGGGAAAAAAGGAACGTTGATGGAAAAAATTTCATTGTTTCTGGTTTATGTTGTACGCACACACTTCATATTGATGAGTTGAAAATGATAGTAATGCGAATGCATTTAGCATAAAAATTATGAGTATATGCTTGGTTTCTGTGGCTCGAGCGCATAATTCTGGTATTTTTTTCGACTTTTTGATTTTGAAAAAATTACGAACTTTTAAATTTTGGTAATTTAACTGACTTTGTAGGTAAGCTTTTACAAAGTCTCTAAAAGTGCATGACACTGTGTTGCTCTTTTATAAAATTAGACAAAATTTTAAAATTAATTTTCAATAACAGATTGGAATTCATTTTTGCGTAAACGCACAGAATTTATTTAACCACATGCAGCAGACAAACTATATCACATATAAAGGCTTTAAATACATAATTCATATTCAGTGAAACCACATTAAATGAAAGTTCATAAATCTTGTAATTAAAAATCCTTTTTTTCGTGTACATCCTCCCACCTCTCCCGCATGTTATATCCTTAAAATATTTCATTGGACTCGCTTTTTTTCCCACAATTTATTTTGTATTCGGCATGCTTTTAATCCGCGATTATGCATTACGTAGTCAATAAATCGAAGTGCACACATTGTAGATTCACAACATTATACATTTATTGATGACAATTTTACCGTGTTATGTTGTGGCAAAAATACTACCATCATTATTATGCATATTAAATTAACACCTGAACACGCTGCTCTCATTTTTTCTGATATTTTAATTTATCATTGTTACTTTATTGTTATTGAATTTTAATTGAAATTGGATAAAGTAGTTTTGGCATAGTTAATCATCTGAATGAATACTTTGTGCTGTTTAATGAGATTGCTTTTATGTTTGAAATTTTATAATTTTATAGCAGTAACTTTTTGAATCTGAAACATTTGAATGGTCACAGATAAAATCCTCAATTTTGTAAAAGAAATAAATTTGTACGATAAAATTTAACAACAGAACACATAATATCCTGTAATGCAGTTCGTATTTATAAATTTAAAATAATGTAAAACATATTTGGAATCGATAATGGTCTTAAAATTTATTAAAAAGGACCTTAATAAAGATAATTAAGAAGAAGAAGAAGAAGAAATTGTGAGGTTTTAAAACGATTTCAAAAATTAAATTGCCGTTAAAAATTAATAAAACCGCAATCAATTTAAAACGACATTTTTATTCATTTTACGGTCTCATGAGTTTAGTTATTATGGCAAATTTATAGCTTACACAATAAATACTCAGAAATAATCACTCATGAAACGCAAAAAGGATTTTAAAATTCGCTTGGAATAGGAAAATTTCTTAAAATTTAATTTCCTCTTTACAAGAACCGCACAGAGCTTAAAAACCACATTTAGGTTTTAAATCTTCCTAATAAGAGAAAAGGGAAGTAGCATAAGTTAAATCTAAAGACTCACAAAGACGTGTACAATGTGATAAATTTATAGTACTCTTTTTTTGTTTGGTTTCATATTATTACGACTTTTTATTTGAATTTTATCATCATAATCCATCCCTTTAAAGTTTATTTAATCAGAATTTTCCTACGATGCATGCTTGAAGGTTAAATATGTGTATTTACTGAAATGTGAAAACATTGATAAATGTAATGACTTTGCATTATCAATAATGCAAATAGTGAATGTTTAAACATCTTTCGTATAGTAAAATATATTTAAGTTTCCTTAACAATTCAAATATAAACAGCACGCGAAAAATCTGTGAGAGCAATTTCAATATTTATATTCAACATTATCATACATATTGTTTTCCAAGTATTTATCATTTTAATGTCCCTTACTCATTCATATGAATCCTTATTGTATTATTGTTGATTTTACAGAATAGGAGTCGTGTGAAATTTCTTGGAATTTTAACGAATAAATTTTGAATTTTATGATTTTAAAATTTTAGCATTTGCTCACCCCTTGTTATTGTTTTTGAGTAGATTTAAACTTTTTGATTTAATCAAGGAAATACTGCTTAATATTGTAAGATTTAGAGGAATACTGAAGCTTTAAACTTCAATTAAACGTAATTTTTCAAAGGCAAGTAATGTAATTAATGAAAACCGTCAAAAACTTTGAAAAATTCTAGATTCATTTTTCCAGAGGTATGTAGTTTAAATAAAAAATACATTGAATTTAGAATTAATTTTTTTGTAAATCTTAATTGATCTAATGTACTTAAATGCTTATATATAGACAAAAATAGATTCAAGAACCATCATTTTGTTTTGATAAATTTTGAAACGATACAAACTTTTCAAACTTTTGTATGTATACTTTATATATTTCATACTGGTAAATTCCAGTCACCATTAGTAAGTCCAGTCAGATTATAAATATTGAGCCTTCAACTTCCGGACCTGGAAGGCAATAAAATAAGACATCTTTGAAATAGTGACATGGGTCAGCAAAAACGAGTTTCAGGTGATAGTTTATGCTTTAAAATTGCATGGAAATAAGTATATATGTACCGAAATATATATATACCTGAATCGAAAGGAGAATTACCTTCAGATTAAAGGAACATATCAAAGCTTTGCTCATTCCAGCTTTATTCATACGTTAATTTGATAAAATATGATCTTTAAATATTTAAGAGTATTTTTATGCATATGACATTAAATTTCAATATTTAGAATAATCATGAAATAAAATTTGATAAAAAAGATAAGAAAAATGAGTGTAGTTTGCAAAAAATTATAAAAAAATTACCTTAAAGTAAATTTTTTTTTATGAATTGTTGCTTTAGGAGTGACATTTTAACATAAAAACATAGAAATTTCAAAAAATATCAAAATCAGAAGATTTGAAATAAGTTTTAATTTAAAATAATTGAAAAATAAGTAAAATTTGTTGAAAAAATGTATAAAAATGATTTTGTTGAAATTTGAGTAAAAAATTGTTCAAACTATGATATATTTATATTCAAAATGTGCGCCTTGATGAGATCTATTGTTCTAAAGCAAAAAACTAAAATTTTGAAAAACGTACAAAATTTATTTTCAACTTTGTTGTTTTGAAATGTATTTCTGGTCACACTTCAAAGTCAAATCGCTCGAGATTGTCTCAGGAACCGAACTCAAGTTGATTATATATTCTGATAGTATATCCATAGAGCTTTCAAAGCATGAAAAAAAATTCCACTCCTATGGGATATCCTGAAAATTTATGGGAATTTATGTCAAAAAATTGCAGTTTTTTTGAAGAAAAGACATAATTTCATCAGCAAAACTCTACTAAAACTTTATAGTATCTTGATAAAAGTTGTAGATCTTGTTTATATCTACAATATAAAAAAAGATTCAGCATCATTTATTTTAAGAGTGAAGTCCTAGACGAACGTATCCATACTGAACAAGTGCTTTTTTGAAAAAAACCTTAAAATTCATAATGTTAAAAGATGCATACTTTAATGTTTACTATCCTAAAATAAAGTTATTATTTAAAGCTACCAAATAAAAAATAAAATTGAAAGAGTTTCATCAATCCAATGAAAAGGAGTGAAAATTTTTGTGGGCGAGAAAATACTCTTAATCAAAACTATCAAAAGCCATATCTTGGAACTTTGGCTGAATTGACCACTTTTGTAAGGATTTTCATAAATGGGAATGAAAGAGCTATCATTTAGACCAAAAAAATAATTTTCGGAAAAGTTTTCGATTTCTGGCCCATAGTGTAATGCGCTCAAAATCAAAAAAAAATATTAAGTTAAGAAATCTTCAACTATTTTATTATTATTATTATTATTATTATTACTACACGCTTTTTATTGAGTTGCTCTGTTGGTTGGTTGGTTGGTCACGTTCAAATCTTGCAATCGATTTTTTGACCACTTCTACTGCTCCAATCGACCTCAAATTTTTTAAACACACGTATTCCCGGTGACAATACAATATTTTAACACTTTGGAATCACAAAAATGTTTAATTATAGTACAATTTAATTAAAACTTTTTTATGTGGCAGAAAAATCCAATGTCAATGATATAAAATTTTGATTTGTTTAAAATATTATACTTGAAATACTCAAAAGTCATTTATATGATTCATTATAGTTTAATTAAGACTTTGAGATTTGACGCTTTTCTTACTTAAGAACTTAGTTGAAATAAGAAATTCATCCTTAAATTACGCCCCACGCTTTTAGAGTCATTGTGTTCTTGGACTTAATCACAATATTTTGAAAATAATTTATGTTACATTTCTAGATGTTACAAGAAAACTTTTAAAATCCTGATTCGCTAATAGTGTGATCTTATTTTATTTTCAAGTTTTTGGTTTTTAGTCTTTTTGATAAAAGCGTGTTTTTTAAAAAGTTTTTTTAACGTTTTTTTTTTTCTCATCGTCTTCATATCTATAAGGATACATAATATGTTAGTAATATATTCATAACTGAAAATTTAATGAAAAATCGTCAGAGAAGGGAATGAATAAAATCTCAAAGGAATAATATGTTAGGCTGATTACAGAATATTCACTAATTAAAATTTACGAAGAAGGATAAGTCGATAGCATTAAAAGTTTTGTGTGTGGAAAATTTCTTTTACACAGAACAGATGAAGGGAAAAATCAATGAAAATGTGTGTAAATAAAAATTAAGAAGTGTAAACGAAGAAGAAGAAGTTAAGTAAAATAAATAGCAATTAAAAGTATTCGGCAAAGAATAAACTTCGGGAATAAAAATAATTATTTAAATTTTTTTAAACACCTGCGAAATGTTTGTTGGTGAACATTTAAAAGAAATTACTCTGCTTATGATGAAGGTATACATCGCGTATAGTATATACATATCTTGTATGTATGGTTTATTTTTAAATATTTGGAGAAAAAAAAGTTTGAGTTCGCTTTCTTTTCTTTTAAATACACTTTTGAAATGAAAGAAATAGAGAATTCTTTATGAATGTGCAAACTCATTCATAATTTTATTAAGAGTTGCAAGTTGGATAAAAGTTTTTAAGAATTTATCTCAATTCGGATCTTTGAGAAAACTATAGCAAAAATTCATCGCTTTTGATGACGGATAACTGATGCGAATTTATTTGATAGAATCAAAGAAAAAGGTAAGTTGCTTGAGATTTTGAAGCTTTACAATACAATTAAGTTAAATATTTGCTTAAATTTGAATTTAGAAATATATTTTAAATTTGAGTTTTGAAATTCTTTGAACTCTGAACCTTAAAGGTCCATTGAAATTTGAAGCTTAAATTTTTTAAAAATTAAATTGAAAAGTCTTTTAAATTTGAATTTTAAAAAATCCATTAGAATTGACAATTTTGAAAATCTGATGAAATTTGATTTTGTAAATATCAAACATTTTAAAATATCCTTAAAAGTCATAAAAATCAAAAAATTGCCAGTCATCAAGTCATAATTAAATCTAGAATAACATTCAGTCATAAAATGGACAGAAAATTTTCTCATGAAGCATTTAAATTCCTCTTGAAAAAAATAAAATATCAAAGAGTAAAATGCGATTACGGTGTCCTTGAACTAAATCTTTATGGATCATTAAGGCGATATTAAAGTGATTTTCTCAAATAATAAAAAGAAGAAAAAACAAATAATTAAAATATATTGATCTAATGAAAATATTCTACGAGCTGTCAGATCCTTTTTATGCTGTGAGGAATTTTAAAGATTGATTGTTTTATGCTTTTTACTTATTTTATCTTCTTGAACGTTCTATATTTTATGATGTTTATCAAGATAAATTTAAGGAGTTTGAAATTTCTTGCTCGTACACTTTCCTCGCTTTCAATACAGGAAGATTTCCGAGTAATTATTTAAAAGATTCAAATTTTGCCATGCAAAGTCAGTAGAATGAGAATGATAAAAATTTGAGTCAGTTATTTTGAATCTATCTAATAAATTGCTAGAAATACTTTCTGATAAAACTATTGCTATTAAATTTATGATACAATTATTGGATTTGCTACTGGAATTAATAATGAATTTTTTAAAAAATTATTCAAATTTTAAAGGTTCGTTAAATTTTCAACTCTCAAAGATCGTTAGATAAAAAACATAAAATAGCACAAGATAAGATTAAATTTAATAGGAGGACTCTTGATATTATAAAAATTTATGCTAAAACTTATATCAATAGAGCTAGAATACTAAAAAATCTCCATAAATATAAATTAAAACCTTAATCAAATTAATTAATTTTCATCCTACCAAATCTCTTTCATACAAAAAAATAAAACAAGAAGCACACACATATCCAAAAATTATTTCCCTCTTTACTTTTATTTTCCTTCATCTCTTACATTAGGTATTTTTTTTATCTTAGTCATCAAAAAGAATGAAAAAAATATCATTTTACGACTATTAAAAATTCAATAATATAACTGAGACCCTTTGCAATTTACATCCACATCTATATATCAAAGTAAAAGAAGAGGATATTCCATAAAGGACTACAAAAATTGGGTTAATTATTCAACGAAAATAATGCTCCAGGTTTTTTTGTGTGTCTATATATGACAAATTTTTTATGTGCTTTTAAAAGTATAATTAAAATTGAATTATTGTCATTTCAAATGCCTATCTATAGTAACAAGGAATGCTGTAAAATAGCAAAAAATAAGGGGGAAGTAAAGAGAGATATGTGAAATGATTGTGCACGATTTTATGAATGTGAAGAAGATTCCTTCAACATTTTCTATTCTGTTACACATGTGGAAGTAAAGGAGTTGAATCAGTTTCTGAACTCTTGAGTATTTAAAAAATCGTAAACTTTTGAAATATTAAGACATAAATATGAGAGAAAGAGTTGTTGGGGAATTGTAGGTCATTAATTATAAAATGTGTTACAAATAATCTCAATGTAAGAATGATAAGAATTTGTTGCATTACTTTTTTGAGGGTTCTTTACAGCTCAGGTTTCATGTTTTTTTGCAGTTTTTTTGTTCTTGGTAAAAGTTTTAAGGGATTACCGTTTTGTTTTACATTTGAATTTATGTTTTCTGGAGATTTTCTTGTTATCTTATCTTGTAAAGTTCAATTTTATCTAGAACTTATCATGTTTTGAACAGTGCTTAAAATCGAGTTTGTTTCCCATTGAATGAACTATTCTTTTGGTCAATCTTCAGATACATTTATCTATGTGAATCTAATCTTTGGGGAAAAGAAGCAAAATGATCTGAGTAATCATAGTAAATTAATTGAATTTCTCACAGTTTTGTTAAAATAAATCAAATTTATCAAGAATAAAACAAGGTAAGTGTCTTTTTGAAGTAAATCTACCCTCTAAAAAGAATCATTAAGCATCACTTTCACCAAATCTTGTAAAGCATTTTGAATAACAGAGATTGAGTCGTCTTTATTTGATTTAATTCTCAGAAGAATATTGAAGATCAATATTTCTAGTTTATTTTAATCTAAGAACCGTTCAACAAGAAAAAATTTTATTATTTACCAAGATATTATCGATTCAAAGAAAGAATCCTTTCAATGGAAGCTTCATAAGTTCAATTCTACACTTCTAAGAGGTTGCACTTAACTTATATTAAAAGGTTGTTGCTTAAACCTTGACTTTAATTCATTTTGGTTGAGTATTGAAAAATGGTATCAAATAAGTTAAAAGTAGAATTTGTGAGATATATAGTTTCCTCATTGAGTTTCACTCAAAATATTATCAATATTGCTGATTTTTTAAAAATTATTCTCTAGTCCATGTATTTAGTTCTATCAAACAGATAATATTGACTTGCAAGTACTAGCTTAGCATAAATATTTGTGAATGAAAATTAAGGATCTTCTAATTTTGTTGTAAGAACTTAGTTGCTTACTAGGTGCAATCATTTAATTGATAAAAGACTTTAAGATAGAAATATTTTATCCTAATTCTAAATGGAAATGGGAACTGATTAATAAAACCAATATGAACTATCCATTCAAAATAGGAAGTAAGAAATTTATGAATGATTGAGAGTGTTTTCATTGGAATTTAATTAATATTAGGAACATTAATGGACGTATTAAGTCATTTGTAACTAGAGTGAGTGTAAATCACAAATTTAATTCAAATTGTCTATGAAATGTTGATTAGAATCTTAATTAAAGATTATCAACTTCTTATTCCCGAACTTCCCCAATTATAACAAAATTGTAATAGAGAATTTTGAGATCTTAAATATGAATCATATTGTGGAATCAATATTCCATGAATCATCTATGAGATTGCTACTCTTTTTTGAACCCCTCTAACCCTCGTCTCTCTTAAAAAATCACGAGAGTAACAAGTGATCTACCCCTATAGAAATAAAATGAAAAACATAATACAAACTATGCGGTAGGTCATCTTTAAACTCAATGCACAATTAATGACGACGATTCGTTTAAAGATTTCGCAAATTCCAATGAAATTGATTTGTTTGTTTACTGATAAGAGGTGTAGGTCCTCATCCCTTCCTTACATCTATGTAATACAAACTATACACCCCTCTCGAAAATCATTATCTTAAATGTTTGATTGCTTACCTGATTTACAAGGATCCATGTCATATTGTGCATCGGTGCGAGGATCAGCATAAGGGAAATTCGTTGTTAATAAATCCTCAATCGTGAGCTTATGTGAGGACAATAAATTGTTCGTATGCTTCACATGTTCATTAATAATTGAGCAATTCGTTGATGTCATAAAAATTATTATTAAAATAATTAAATTAAAATTCAAACTCGTCATATTGTTTATGTTGCTTATTCTCTTTTATTTTTCACATAAAAAATTTAAGCATCACCGAAAACACAAATTTCTTTCATGAGTCGAGACTCTACTATATGAGACTTCCTGCTATGATTTTGATAATGAAATATCAACATATAGATGATTTCCCTATTTATTACGATTTTCCTCTTCGTTGCTTAAAAATTCATATCGTATTGAGTCGAGTCGCATCTAATACACAACAATGCAACTGGCAATTATTATGATGATTATTATTATAATTTAAAAAGATTTATTAATTCTTTTCTATTTAATTTATTATTTATTATTATATTTCTTAATGTGTGTTCGAAGACCGTGAATGTCGTAAATCGTGGAGAAGAGATTAAAATTTGTATTTTAAATAATTTAATGCCACTGAATGATGAATAATTATATTTATTGAACCCTAAACGGGTGAATGGTGGTAATAGCTTGCGTTATCACTTCGCATTTCACTGTGTTTTAAGTCGAGAGTCTTTCTTCTCACTCACTTTATTATTTTGTGTTGTCACAAATCTCTTTTCAATAAATTCTCACAGGTATCATAAAGATTTTTTTTATTGTTATCCATTTATTTTTATTTTTTAAAATAACTCATAAAATTTTTTTTTCAATCATTTATTTATGCTGAAGATAAATAAGATTATTTTTTTTTGTTATCTAATAAGAATTATTATTTTTTTCTCCCTCTCCTTCTCTCACATTACACATTATAATTTTTATAATTTACACACAGAGATTTTTCTGCAGAACACGTAAGAATAATTTGACAGTCGAAGGCAGACTGAGAACATGAGTAAAATTTTATATATGCATGAAATGAAAAAGGCGAAAGAATAAAATGATGATGATGAGTGAGCATGGAGAGAAAATTCTCATCATCAACTTGTTGGTTCCTTTTCTCGCTCAAATAAAAATCACATGGCGCATTATTATGAAGCATGTAGAAGCATCACAAACTCTTATCGGGGGTGGGCTATCGGAAAATTATGAAATGAACTTTAAAATTGTAAATTTATTTTTAAGAATTAAGTTTCAAAATAATTTTAAGAATTCAAGTTTCAAAATGTGAAATGCCTATCAGTGGACTAAGGAGTAGAGCGTAAGTTTTGCTAAAGGTTCTGGGTTAAATCTTAGAGAAAGTCAAGTTTTAGAATTTCTTTTTCAATTTCAGTTTGAGGTCTTTGCATATATAATTTCTGCTTTGCTAGGTTTATTAAGATACACAAGCATCCGGATACTTTATTACGGCATCTTGTGCACTCGAATTGTGACAGGGTATAGCAAGTCATAAGACGTACTTGTGGCTTTACAATGTACAAAGCTTGCAAGTGGTTCAGATTCCACTATAAACTGTTGGTCTCAAGGACAACAGGAGATTCTAAATTAATTGAATCACAGTGCCTCCAGCTTAAAAGATCACATCCGATTGTTTATCTTTTAAATTCCGAAAAGTTTTCAAACTTTGAATAAGAAAATGTAAGATTTTAAAGTTTAAATTTCAAATCAAACAAATTAGAACTAAAATTCAGAATTTAATTCCTTAATGTAATTTAATTTTTAAATTGGAAATAACATAGATTTAAACTAATTGTAAATAATTCTTAACATTTAATTTATCCTTCGAAGAAAGCAGACGCAAAAATAATTAACTCAATAAATAATTAAGAAGCACTTCCAATTTTAATACGCATTAATTAAATTTTAAAGAAAGCCGAACTAATTAATCATGCAAAAATCTCAACGATTCATTTATCCTGCATAATATTCCAAAGAAATGAGATTGAATGAAAAATATTTTAATTTCTGCCATCACATCAACGACATATGGTGATCCTTAATAAACGAAAAAAAAATCACAATGCACCATATTTTTTGCATTCATTGAGTCTCAACAAAAGGAATGTTGACGCTGTACGATTTTGAGAAAGGAAAAATAAAAAAATGTGTGAATGAATGAATTGATGATAACGTCCTATTTTTCTCTATTGAGAATTGTAGAATGGAGCAGACGAGACAGGCAATGACTGAGAATGGTAATTGTAGACTAAGTTGTATAGGAATTGACTTTAAGATGGGATTTTCCGGGCAATAAAATTTTGATTTTTAAACAATTTAAAATTTTTCGTACCTGAAAAGGATTTGCTGACCTGATTACTAGCCCCTGCAACAAGTTAAAATCTAAACTGAAAAGATGAAAATGTAAACTTTTTACTATCGACTTTTTTGTTTTGTTTTTTTTTTTGTTTATTGTATCATAAAAATCGTTTCTCCACAAAAAATCTTGAGCTTTGTGCTATGAAAAAATAAGTTCATTTTCTTTACAATATTCATTTACTTTTTGTAATCTATTTTTGGACCTATTCAGATATTTGAAAAAATAATAATAATAAAAATTAAATAAGTTTGATTTTCTCATTTATTTGATTACCTTTGATACTTTTCTGTTCAGAATAAACTTTCTTTTAGTTGTGGATAACAAAAATAAAAAATAAATTATAATTAAACTAGATATAATCATCCATTTTAGTCTATAGGTAGATATACGAACATAAAACAATTTTTTTTTCAATTTTTTACTAAGTGAAACACACACAAAAATTTAAATAATAATAATTCATTTTTATGCACATCTGTTCGACATATTGCAGCTCATTTAATCTAATTTACTTCTTTTCTATACTTTTTTTTCATATATATTTTTTGTAAGCCTTAAAATCTAAAAAATTATATAAAATGAAGGTCTCATGCACGGATTAAGATAATCCTTTTTGCACGATGATTGCACACATAAAAAATATATATTTTTGTTTTTATAGATCAGAAAAAAAAATCGAATTTGACCTTTGCAAATTAGAGTTCAAAAGAGTGATGACTAAGGCGTATTTTTTGTGACGATTGATCAGTTTGGAATTTAAAGGATTTATAAATTTTTATAAAAGAATACTTTTTAACGGCTTTGTAAAATTTGAAATAACTGAACTAAACTGAGATGAACTTAGACTACTGAACAGTTTTGATTGATTTACTGTCAATCATGTCCACTGTTGATTGCTTTTTTAACTTTGTTTAATTAACGCTTGATAGGTTAGTAACAATAGGATATTGTCAAGAGAATCTTTTGCCCTCTGATATTCATTAAATCATGCAAGAATTTCCGTGAAAAAAGTGAAAATAAAATCATAATATTTAAATTCCAAAAATACGTTTTGAATTTAACTAAGTTTAGGTAATTTCTTTAAAAATAGAATTAGAAAGATGGGAGTATGAATGAATATAAAAATAATTTTACTATAATAGGATACCTCGATTAATTAATCCTGCAAAGATTCAACAATTCGATTTCTTTACAAGTTCCCGTAATTTTTGTTTAATAAGGTTGTATATTAATTATAATAATTTGTTGCACAAATAAGTTATTCCAAACGACAATCAATGAAAAAATATGTATTAATTAAACTAATTTGTTAGTACGCAAATAAATCGTTTCATCGTCCACGATGATGATACTATATATCGTATTAATTATGTTATTATTTCTTGAACACAAAACATGAACAAACAATATAAAATAAAATTTGTATGAAATAATAATAATAATAATAGTGAACTAAAATAAAATAAAAAATGCAATTAGTAATGCATATATAGCTTCTTGACTTTAAACTAGAAAAAAATGTGTATTAATAGTCGACAAAATTTACTACGTACGTGATGGTACCATCACCGTAATCGTCTCTATTTAATACGCTTGCAAGACGATTACGATCGATTTCGGTTCCATCTGAGAGCATATACATCGGCTCTTCCGTTATTTCTTGATAAGGTACCGTTGACAGTGGTGTCAAAAGTGTCTCATATGTAGACGCTTGAAAGCTCGCTGAAGTTGCAATTGTTGTTGTTTGGACGATTGGCGTGGTCGATGGATGATATTGATAATTTTCGGGATTCAATTTCACCTCATCTTGGTGGTGATGATAATCGTTATGATGATGGTTATTATTATTAATAATATTATTATTATTTGCAATTGTGATGACTTGTTGTGTCGTCGGAACGACATGTGACGAATTTGAATCTGACGTATGATCCAACGACACAAACGATGAAGATGTTGTATTTTCAGGCGAATCGGATCGCTCCGTAGACGAATAATTTGTCATTTCAGTCGGAAGATTCTCAGAGGGCACTGCTGTTGGTCTTAACATAAGTTTCTTCTGCATTTGATGCCCTAGAAAAAATATAGTTCTCATTAAATCATGGTATACTAGTCATACTGGTATCAAAAAATGTTATACATACTCGGAAAAAAGTCCGACGGCTTAAAATGCTTGCTACATATTCGAAAATGTCGAGGAACGTCACGCTCTACTTTGAGTACCTTAATCCACTGTTTTCTATTGGATATATAGGAGAGTAAAACGATAAATACATGCATAGAATCATAAAACACTGATCCAATAAATATTCTATAAATAGATGTAGTTATTTATAAACATTAAAACATCCGGACAAAATTTGAATATGGTGGGCACATCTCATACTAAGTAGTTTGAATAATTTTCCTCAATACTTGAGGGAGATCAAAAATAAAAAAACTTTAATTTACCTTCGTGGATCCCTAAAAAATGAAAGATAATGATAATAGAACTGATTAGTTTGAGTATATTGAAGGTGTTTTATGTTAATCTTATAAGATAAATGTCGACCAAATATTTACGCAACTACGATAACTTTACATAGCTCACCTCTCGTTTGGAAATACGTGTAAACTGCAACTTTCCGAGATTGCCTGACGACAATTTGGCAAGCTGCAATTTGCAAGATGCTTCCTACTTTGGCCTGTGATCGGTGCCATCAAAAAATAATTTTGATGAAAATAAAATATAAACTCAAGAGGGGGTCGACTGCTAAAGGAATAGAGATTATACTCCTATCGATTACTGTTATGTCGGTGCTATTCTTTAAACTTAATCTTTTATATGAAAATAGTCTAGAAATTGTTTCAGTGACATTTTATTAGATTCAGAATTTTAAACTTTATGTAATGTGATAAAAATTTCAACAGAAATGTGTTTAATTAATGACATAAATCATTACAAACTGTACATTAAGCATATCCCGTTATATGGAATCTCTAAAAGATTATGAAGGCGTTTAGTAATTTTAGCAAAATTCATAAATTCTTTAGTAACGTCTAAAAGTCATTTTTAACACGGTGCAGCTTCTCGAGATCTTGTTGTGCCTTCATACGATCTCCTTTTGACTTTTTGCCAATTCCTAATTTTGGTAATCCTCTGTTAAGACCTTCGAGCAAGATACATGCTTTGCATGGCTGACAAGATGATACAAATCCACAAGTCTGACAAATGCCTCGAATTTGCTTCTTTATAGTGTCTTTAAATCGCATCTGTTCCCCGGAATGAATAATATCCATAATAACTGATGGCCTAACCTTCTCCAGATCCTTTAAAAATGCCCTGGCATGTCCTCGATATGCATTTGGTGCAAATATACATTCAGTTGAGAAATAAACTAGCTTCTTGAAATGTGCGTACATGACAATTTCCTTCTCATAAGTATACTTTAATGGCTTAACTCTTGGAATTGAATCCTCACCACCAGATGTACAAATATCTGTGCATCTCCTTAGTCTTGCTATATCTCCACGAAGTATATTCATTAAAACTGTCTCTGCAATATCGTCAGCGTTATGTCCTGTTGCTACACAATCCACTTCCAACATCTTTGCTCCTCTGTCTAAAGCCTGTCTACGAAATACACCACAAAATGTACAATTATTACTTCTTCCTATTTGCTCAACAATCCTGTCCATCGTCCATCCATAAAGTTCCTCATAACTAAGAATTTTTAATTCCATTTGATAGTCATCACGATTCTGTTTAACTGTTTCCAAGCTGTCGTCTCTATATCCAGTAATTCCTTCATCGATTGACAATAGTATTAACTTTAGGTTGTAGCTGTATCTTTCATTCAAGACTTTCATAACATGAGCGAGAACTGTTGAATCCTTTCCACCACTTGCAGCGATAGCAACTCGTTGTCCACTTTTAAATAATTTATTTCTTGTAATCGTCTCATGGATTTCCAGCTCAAAAGCTTTAAAAAAGCATTCTTTACATAAAACATCACTAGTTTTGGGTCGCTAAAATTGAATGTTTGATTAATTTGTATTGTGACTCAGTATCTCATCATTTACCTTCAATACGCCTTTATTTCCACAATTTGCTTTACACAAAACAACCATAATTAGGCTTATTTAAAGTAGATTTTTGTGTTAAAATTTTATTTTATTTTTTTTGGATGTAAATATTCGGTTTGTTTACCTCGTGTTACAGTATAACCTGCTCAAAAAAGTCACGACAACCTCTGTAATTTTAAATTTCATCATTTCGCAAGTTAAATTCTATCTAATCAATAAACTTGAAATAATTAGGTAAATCCTTGATTATTACATCATCCAATTGCTGGATATAAAGCGTAAAGCAACAAAGAATTAGAAACCATTCAAGTTCATATAATTAATTAGTGAAAATCAAGAGAAAAATGAGTGACAAAAATATTGAAAATAATGAAGAAGAAGTAGTTGAGAAATCAGCAAAACAGCTGGAAAAGGAGGCCAAAAAGGCTGCTAAATTAGCAAAACTCCAAGAGAAACAAGCTAAGCAGGCAGTTCAGCAACAATCCGCTCCAAAAGACAAGGTTGAGGTGAGTTATATTAAATCTTTTGGTTATTCACATGTTCCACGAAATCAATTTTCTTACTTTCTACTTTATATGCTTTATACATGCAGAAAAAAGTAAAAACAACAATCAAAGAGATTGTCTACGAGGCAAATACGACCGATGGGGAGAAAAAAGACGTAACAGGATCAATGCCTGATGCTTACAGCCCTCAATTTGTTGAGGCTGCTTGGTATTCGTGGTGGGAAAAACAGGGATTTTTCAAACCAGAATATTTCGTAAGATTACTCATGTAGCTGTGACTCAAATGTCAATATTAATTGCATCATATTATTACTTTTTCTAGATGAAGGATGGAAAAGTCTCTGAAAAAGGTCAATTTGTTATGGTAATTCCTCCACCAAATGTCACTGGATCTCTTCATTTGGGACATGCTTTGACTAATTCTATTGAAGATGCAATCACTAGATGGCATAGAATGCACGGACGAACAGCTCTTTGGGTTCCTGGATGTAAGTAATTTCTAACGGCTATTGTAGATTCAAATTTTACATAAAATTCAAATGAATTTTATCCGTTAAAGGTGATCATGCTGGAATTGCCACTCAAGTTGTTGTAGAAAAGAAGTTATGGCGTGAAAGTAAATTAAGCCGACATGATCTTGGACGTGAAAAGTTTATTGAGAAAATTTGGGAATGGAAGGAGAGTAAAGGTGGACGAATTTATCATCAATTGAAAAAGATTGGATCTTCAATGGATTGGGATCGTGTTTCATTTACAATGGATCCAACATTATGTAAAGCTGTAACTGCTGCATTTAATCAATTGCATGAAAAAGGCTTAATTTATCGTGACAAAAGATTAGTAAATTGGTCATGTACACTTAAGTCTGCAATCTCAGATATTGAAGTCGATAAAGTTGATATTCCCGGCAGAACGTTCCTTGCAATTCCTGGATATACTGATAAGATTGAATTTGGTGTTTTAGTATCATTTGCATATCTCGTTGAAGATACAGATGAAGAAATTGTTGTAGCTACAACTCGTGTGGAAACTATGCTTGGAGATACAGCAGTTGCTGTCCATCCAAATGATGAAAGATACAAGCATTTACATGGTAAATTTGTTAAACATCCATTTGCTGATCGAAGACTTCCAATTATTTTAGACGACTTTGTTGATATTAATTTCGGTACTGGTGCTGTAAAAATCACTCCAGCTCATGATCCTAATGATTATGAATGTGGAAAACGTCACAACTTGCCATTTATTACTATCTTTAGTGACGATGGATATATCGTCGGTGATTATGGCGAATTCACAGGTAAAAATTAACGGTTATTACCATTTTGAATATTTAACGTCTTTCAAAAATTTGGAAGTTTTTTTTTTTGAATTTTTGAAAATCGTTAATTTTTCGTTATACTGGGGGTCCTCGATTTGAGTAGTTATTTTGTTCCGAAAATTTTCTACTCAAATCGAATCTATTCAAATCAAGGCAAGGAATCCATACAAAATCACATGTTTTGTTCCAGAGTCCAAAAAATGTATCAAAACAATGAAAATTTTTATAAATTTTTGTACATTTTACCTCGTTTCCTAACTTTTCTTTTGTGTTTAAGATAACTTAAGCATATTCATATGTGATTTTAACAGAAATTCACAAAAAATATGTTTTTTCAACAAACCAAAAATACGAGAACCTTACAAATGTTATATTAACCGAACAATTTGTAAGGTTTTTAAATTTGAATATTTTAAAACCGTTATTTTTAATATCGATTTTGTAAATTTTTACATTAACTTGTAATTTTATTATTGATTTTTCTATCAAAATGATTAGTTTACGATTATTGCTTTAAATTTATGTTTAAAAATATTTTCTGAAAAGTTTTTGTCAAAAACATTTGTTTTGTAAACAATTCAATTCGAAGAAATCTACTCAATTTGAATATTTTGGGAGGTAAAAATATTTCTATTCAAATCGAATCTACTCAAATCGAGGACCCCCAGTATAATCTTTTTAACTTCACAGGAATGAAGAGATTTGATGCAAGAAAGGCAGTTTTAAACAAGCTCAGAGACCTTGACTTGTATAAAGAAACTCTCAACAATCCTATGGTTGTTCCAATTTGCAGTCGTTCAAAGGACGTTGTTGAACCTTTAATTAAGCCTCAGTGGTACGTAAAATGCGATGGAATGGCTAAAAGTGCTATTGATGCAGTTAAGAATGGAGAATTGAAAATTATTCCTGAGAATCACGTTAAGACTTGGAATTATTGGATGGAAGGAATTAGAGATTGGTGCATATCACGTCAATTGTGGTGGGGTCATAGAATTCCTGCATATATGGTTAAATTTAAGGATGCATCGAAAACGCCTAAAAATGTTGAAGAGGAATATTTGTGGATTGTAGCTACAGATTTAGAAGAAGCTTGGACAAAAGCCCAAAAGAAGTTTAATGTTAAGAGAGATGAAATAGAATTGCATCAAGATGAAGACGTTTTGGATACTTGGTTTAGTTCTGGTCTATTTCCATTCTCTGTCTTTGGATGGCCTGATAATACTGAAGATTTAAAGCTGTTTTATCCAACGACATTGCTTGAAACTGGACATGATATTTTATTCTTTTGGGTAGCTAGAATGGTCTTCTTTGGACAAACATTACTCGGTAAATTGCCTTTCAAGGAAGTCTTTCTTCATCCAATGGTTCGTGATGCTCACGGAAGAAAAATGTCAAAATCTCTTGGAAATGTTATTGATCCGATGGACGTAATTAACGGAATTTCATTGGAAGGACTTCATCAACAATTGCTTGACTCCAATTTAGATCCAAGAGAAATCGAAAAAGCTAAAGCTGGACAGAAACAAGACTTTCCAAACGGAATTCCTGAATGCGGAACCGATGCTATGCGATTTGCTTTGTGCAGTTACATGACACAAGCTAGAGATATTAATTTGGATATTTTACGTGTTCAAGGATATCGATTCTTCTGTAATAAACTTTGGAATGCCACTAAGTTTGCTCTTTTGTACTTTGAAAGTGGCGAAACTTATGAGATTCACAACAAAATGGTGAGTTAACGGCTTTTTATAATTCAAATGGACTAAACTGAAACTAGTCGAACATTTTGTAATTCAAATGAACTTTTTTAACGACTTTTCAAAATTTAAACGATCCGAACCAAAATGAACCTTGAATTACTGAACAAATAAATTTTCAAGTTAAATTAATTTTAAATTTTTTTGCAGACATCAGCAGAAAGCAAAACGGATTTATGGATATTATCGAAGCTTTCAAACGTCGTTGAAACTGTTAATAAATCATTTGAGAATTATGAATTCGCTACAGCAACTCAAAGTTGCTATGCCTTTTGGCTTTATGACTTGTGTGATAATTATTTGGAATGCTTGAAGCCAGTTTTTACATCTGACGATAATGACAGGAAGGCAGTCTCGAGACGTGTATTGTATACATGTTTGGATTTTGGTTTGCGGCTATTATCACCTTTTATGCCGTTCATTACTGAAGAATTATTCCAACGCTTACCCAGAAAGAATGTTGAAATTCCAAGCATTTGCGTAGCTCCTTTCCCAAGTATGGTTTAAATTGTAATATTTACAGGACGAATTTTTAATTAAACTTATTTTGCAGCTATCGAAGAATTTAATTTCAAGAACGAGAACATCGAGAAAGACTTTGAGTTTATCCAGAAAGTAGGGAAGGAAATTCGTTCAGCACGCAGCGACTACAATATTCCAGCAAAGATTAAAACTGAAGCATACATCATTTGTTCGGATGAATCTATGACCAATGTCCTTAAAAACTTTAAAATTGAAGTTCAGACACTGTCGTACTGTTCAAGCATAGATGTCTTACAAGAAGCACCAAAAGGATGCGCAATTTTAACTGTTAATGCTCAATGTGAAGTTCATTTGATGCTTAAAGGAGTCATTGAAGCTGATAAGGAAATTGGCAAGCTTGAAAAGAAGCGTGAAAATCTTGAACAAAATATCTCAAAATTAAAGCAAAAGATGTGTTTTGAGGATTATGAGATCAAAGTTCCAGAGAACATCAGATTAGACAATTCAGAGAACTTGAAGCAGTCTGAGATTGAAGTTGAACGAATAAAAACAGCAATTGAGGCGTTAAAGCTAATGTAATTATAATCACGAATTTGTGAATATTTCAGAATTTTTACTATAATTAACAAAATCAAATAAATATAATGCTTACAAGCCTACAAACTTTGTTTATTTCGACGAATTTTAATCATTTGTTTTTCAGAAATGCCTAATGATCTCACGTTCATGACTTTTTTGTCGAGATATTTAATTCAATTATCTGGAGTGAAAACTCAAAATTTATCATTTTTTACAAATTCAAAACTTGTCAGTTTTCAATTCAAAAACCAACAGATTTTCTGGATTCAATTTTTTTCACAAATTAAGTGGCGCGAAATTATTTAAAAACATCGTTTTTATTGATCAATTTTTAAAGATTTAAATGTTTTCATTAATTTGCTATGCTAATTAAACAGTAAAGCAGTGTTTTTTCTGCAACACTCGTACTCGATTGCACATACTATCATTTAAGTCCTCTAAAATATCAAATCGAGTAAAAATTACGTGAAAATTATCAAAAATATTTATGGTTTACATTAATCAACAATTGCTGGTTTAACAATGCATTACCAGGAATCTATCCAGTTTTATCAGGTAAGTTATCTTTAAATCCAACGAAATTCATTGTCGATTTATATCAAATTTCAACAGTACAAACGAAAGAAATATATTCTTCAATTCAAAATTGAAACATCCAGCTATGACAGATTTAAGCATACATTTAAGACAGACAAGTACATAAACATAATCCAGTGGGAGTATATACTGGCAAAAGTCAATAAGGTAATCGTTGGAGTCATTAAAGATGGAGATGATTGGTTGAATAAGAAGAATCGATTTACAACTGATGACTTAATAATAAGCTATGAGCTTGTGGATAAAGATGAAGGCCTTATAAATTATGAGAGTATAAACTATGAATTTGACTGGATTGTAAAAGTGACGATCAATAAAGCATCAACTATTCAAGATAGTTTCAACATTCAAGAATCTCAAAAAAGCTCATCCAGTCCCAAAAAGAGATTCTCATCGTCATCAAAAGAATCAAGTGCTCCAAATGATGAACACGATGAAAACGTCATTACTGGTGATACTGATGATGATGATTTATATATTCATGAAAATAAGAAGGCAAAAATTGAAGATGACGATGATTTAAAACTTTCAGTTCTTCAGCAATCTAATCGATACAATTTAAAGACTAGAAAGGACAAAGGTGAATCAGGCAAACAGTCGAGCATTACAAGTTGGATAACAAACAGAAAGGAAAAAGCTAAACCACAGAAATCAAAGGATTCAGCGCCATCAACGTCCAAAGATGCATTAGCTCAAATAAACAAGGAAAAACTTCAACAAATGAACGACTTTGTAGTACGATCAGAACAAGAGGAACAGAAAAAACTTGAACGAAAGAATGAACTTAAAGACTATGCCATATTAAATTGCTTTGACATGCAGGATTCTCAAATTATTCAGTAAATTAATTGATATAAAGTCCACTCAATTTTATTAAACTTAACAATCATAATTAATTCACAGGGTCATTGCGAACCTAGCCTATGAGATTCATGTCATGTTCGAAAGCGATTCAACAGTACTTTCAACAGGAAAAGATGCAAAAATAAATCCATGTGACATAACAGCCTCGAATATTTTATCAGAGAAGCAGACAATGCTCGTCCTTAGAACTATAGAAAAATTACATAAAATAGATGGCGAGGAACTGAATGATAATGTTTTGCACGATGCAGCACTTCCGCGCGTTATCATCGAATTATTTAAAATGCATCATGGATTGAAATTAGAAGAAGCTATAGAAAGAATCAAGACACAAGAAGAAAAAAAAATCTTGTTTAAGGAAGAGTTCAATGAGTCGTACTAATCAAGAGATCGAGAGAATATTTTTTTCGTGAGTAAAGCTCTCTGAAAGCTTTAAAGAAACTTTTTGAGCTAAAAGCTCGCAACTTAATTAATTATTATTTTTTAAACCCTTTTGTTGATCCTTGAAGGCAGACTAGAAACACTTTTAGAAGCTTAATATTTTTCGTCATTTAATTAAGTATTTTTTTTTCATGTCATCCACAACTTACTAGAAAAATTTAAATAAAATCAGTCTCAGAAGAGAAAAGAGAGGACCCCAAAAAATAGACGAAAAAGAAATTTGTCTCTCTTTGCGATCCAAAGAAGACTAGACAGTGATTCGTGAATAACAAGAAAAGAAAAACATATCTTTACCTGACTAGCATCCCCACTTCACAATAAGATACGAGAAAACTATAAAAGAAATGTTTTAAGCGCTCAAAAGCTCATTTCAATTTTTATATTGTAAGCGGCTACGTTGTGCGTGATTTAGGTGTCAAATTTTATTATTTAACATTTTTTTTTGGGTGTATCTTATGTGTTGAAACTTCAGGCTGATGATAGTCTCTTCAGACTAAATTATCTCGGATAAATTTTAAGTGAATTTGAGAAATTATTGTGCGTGTCAAAAACAGTTTAAAGCACATAAATTAATGTTTATGTTGTAAATTAATTATTGTTTTTTAGTTTGTAAATAATCAGATTTGAGACACTTGTTGAGCCTAAAAGTAGGTGATAGCAAATCACCAGAATAAATCATTAATTATTCTTTAAGTGATAATAGTCAACGAGATATTAAAGGAAAGAATCAAAGATTGGCGAATACTTTGAGCAAAGGTAAGGATCAAGTGAGAGTTATTTGCATGTGGATTGTTTTTGTGCAGTTTTTGTGGTTAAATTATTAGAAAATCTAGTTTTTGATTAAGATCTTGAATATTAACCGGATTTTACAATTTCAAAAAGATTTAAAAATTTAACGAAACTTTTTGAACTTTAAATTTAACTGTTTTATAATTTTAAAATTTTTTGAACTCAATGTTTTTATTGGGATTCAAACTTGGAAAGTTCGTTTGATTTATTCATTCAATTTACATTTTGCATTAGATTTGTAAATTTCATATGCTCTTCTTCAATTGTTGAATCTTTAAAATATGCACAAAAGCTTTAATCTGCATGCAATTTTTAAATAAACTTCTAGAACCATCTCAGCTTATTGCCTATCATTATGGAAAAATTCTGAATATTTGATATTATGCAATAACTTGCCTACTTAATATGTCTATTATATTGTGCTGTAAATTGTTTGCTCCTGTTAATTAATTAGATATTCAAGGTTAAGAATAAATTGCAATAAAAATGCTTTTGCTGTTCTATACGTCAGAATCATTATAGAATGTCAAAGTGCTGCTTCTTTACGTGTCATCCCATTAAAGGAAATACATACTTTATTTTTTAATAATTGGATAGCTTGCAGTTAATTGACTAAGCTTTTGCATAAGATGATAATTATCTAGTGTTGGATTATTGAGTAGCTATACACACACTTTAAGCTGATTAATCAGCACGCAATCTCTTAATTACAAACAAAACGCACCTAATGACTTAATAAGACTATCCATTAATCACAATGTGATCATTTTATTTCCAAGCTTAATTGATACTTATTTAATATTTCATTATTGTGAAAAGAGAAATTTCGGAAATATTTTAATAATTAAATTGTCAGTCTATGACGATCATCTTTAATTCCCCTTTTTATCGAACGACTCGATGTAATATCATTAACTGTGCTGATATATATGACAATTTGAATGCAAATTTTGCTGACATTTCTTCAACAATAAAATTATACTAGCGATGCTTATAAGCTTGCAACTGCGCACAATGTTACTTAACAATTGCATCTCGCATAAACTAGCTATTTTTTGGATGATCCGGATGTATGGATCATATAAATTCTTGTGACTGAATGGTCTGAGAATTTATGGTAATTATCAAGGAGCTGTGTATTAATGATGTCTATTTAAAAAAAAGTTGAATATTCAGGCTCATCTTCAGACTTTGTTACAAAATTGTCAAACAATTCTTTTTAGGGCCGTTCACTTATTACGTTCGCATTTTAGGGGGGAGGGGGGGTTTGAAAAATTGTAACAAAATGTAACATATGGAGGGGGGGCAAGAAGTATATAACGTTAAGGAAAAAAATTTGTTTACAAATTCACACCAAAAACATTTTTTAAATTTTCCACCTTTTTAATGATTTATGAAAAATTATCAAAATAAAATAAATTATGAACGTTCAGAGGGGGGGGGGGGGGGGGGTTGTGAGTTGTAACATATTGTAACAAGGGGGAGAGGTGGTGAGAAAAAGTCGTTTTTTTGCGTAACGTAATAAGTGAAAACGGCCCCTTAGGAGTCTTTTATAGATTCAGATCCAGTGTAACTCCTTTTATTAAAACTTTAATAAAACATAGTCTTAAACAAAACAAAAACTCTTGCTACAACACTGCATCATAATCTGCTATCGAATATCAAAAGTAAATGTTCTCACGTGGAATCAAAGATAACAGATGCCCATGCATTCTGTGACTATAATCATTTCTTGTTCTTAATGTCAAAATGCCAATTTTTGTTTTTCTCGACTATAAAAGTTTCTTTTGATTAATAAATCCCGAGGGAATCTAAATTGAGCTTTTTAAGTCTATTAAAAATGAATTTCTGTTTTGTTCCAAAACAAAGTTGTCAAGTTTCATGGAACATTTCGTAAATGCCTGTTAGAATCATAAAAAATGATCACATAATGCTAAGAATAAAGTTGTCATCTTATTTTCATCAACAGAATAGCTTTAATCATTATATGAGCAAAAATGGTATTTTAAGCACCGAGTTAAATGAAGGCGGATCTTCCAGGGCGAGAGTAACGATACAAGATTTGAGAATTATTTTTTAAGAATTAAATTAGTTAAACAGCAGTGCTCAAACATCAAAAACCTATTTCAATTATTCACCTTCAAATGATCTTGTATGATAAGCAATCAAAACGCGCCCACCTTGTAAATTTGACTTCCTATCTGTAAAACTCTTTTGAAGCATATTTAATTTTTTGGCATCTGAATGATTAGCACTAAAATTCTGCTTGTCTCATGTCATCATTGTCATGTGTTTACAAATTTTCTTTCAAATCTTCTCTGCCTAATTCTTTCCATAAATCACATTCCAAAAAAATCCGGTAAAGATGTAAACACTTGCGATCTTTGTTACAGATCCAGGTGTCTTTAAAGTTATGACTTTTTTGCTATTTTTAAATTGATATTGAATTCCAAACAAGTCGGTATTTATGGAAATTTTTTATAGGCTTGCTTTTGAGCCATATTTAGGATTTATTTATGGTATTGATGATGCTAGGAATTCCCATAAATTTGATGGTTTCAAAAATTATTTTTAGGGCCAAAATATTTCTAATTGGCGCTTATGCACAGCTGTGATAAAGTCGTAGTCATATCGAACACCTGAGCATTAATAATCAGGATTGAAAATAGGAAACAAGTTGCTGTAGGTTATGGAAATAAGATGATGCTGTAATTAAAGCAATAAGTTTGATTAAAATAGATTAAAATTCAAAGTATAAATCAGACTTTATTACACTGTCATGGTCAGTTAAGTGGTTACAGCCACTAACCATCGCTTGCCTTATAAACATTGATAAAACCAGATAATGAAGTTTCATAGAATGAGGTAATTCCTTCTCACATGAAGTTTATTCCGTAAGAAGCGATGGAAATGAAAAGAAAATTAGATCAAGTTTATGTATGACCTACAAATGAGCATTACAGAAACTTGTTGTGCATTTAAATGCTGCAGATATACGTTTCGAAACAGCTGATACCAGAAGACAGTTCAAAAATAAGAGATTGTTGAATTTTTAAGAAAACCTTGAACCCTCATTTTTTTCTGAAGATTACATGCTTTAATGTCTCAATACTGGTCTGGTAAATACATCGAATCTTTCTGGATGTCTTTCATTTTACATTGTCAAATGCATGGTCATTTAAATGATGCTTAACCTGCGATATTAGCATTCAATGCCTTCACATTCTCTTCAAAACATTAATTTCCAATAAATTGACCATATGTAGGCTGACAAGATTGTAATGATGTTGCTTATTTAAGTGACAAGTTTACGCATTGAAATTCCAAAGAATCCTAAATTCCTCAATTCAACTAAAAATGGAAAATCAACTGATTAGAAAAATTAAATATGAAATGACTAAAGTCATCTCAAACAGATAGCCAGCCTCCTCCATACGTCGATTCTTAATATGGTAATTAGTGTAATATGTAAGCGAGCGAAGTGGAAAGGAAGGGAATTACCTTGAGTGTCCTTGAAACTCGTAAAATAAAGAAAAACACCTTTCTCTTCCACTAGAAAGAATTCGTCTCTTTCACGTGCACAATTTATCATTTTCATTTAACCTCCACACAGCACATACGGAGACAGACTTACACTCTCTATTGCATAATAGCTCTCATTTCTTTATTATTTTATTTATTTTTAAACTTAAAGGTTCGAATAGTTAAAGGAAAACCTTAGTATTGATTTCTCTTTCTCATCTGCCTATTATCTCTTATAACTGAGTATGTACAGCACTATGATACTTAACATACATAATAAATCTTGATATTTGAATCGGCAAACTTCAAGACAATGAATTTTTTGCACACTTTTGGCATATTTTTTGTGACTCTTTTGACCATAAACTCTGATTTGTTTAGCTCATCCACTGATTAATACACACCCTAAGTTGGCTTTTGTAAAAAATGTAATGCCTCTCGTGACTTTTTGTCATATCTCAAACAAATTTTTGGAAACAGAAATAAAAGATGAAAGAAAAAGAGAAATTATGTGTCTTATATTACATAACGTGATCATCAATCGAATATCACACAATGACTCACTTGATATTCATCGATTGAGCTTCAACTTCACTTCCATTTTTATTTCATTTTCAGTGTTGGTTGAAAGTTCACCGCACTTCATTTAAGGTGTTTGTGTGAGCCTTAAACTTCTTGCATTGATTGATTGATTGATTACTAATTAGTTTTGCAATTGACTAGTTATCTAGGGACCTGTTGTAGATTAAAAACAAATCAAATGCCAAGCTCAATCACCCAAAAAACAAACTAGGTAAACAATAAAGAATTTAATGCCTTAAATGTTTCGGTTTTGATCAAAACAAACTGAAGGATATCAACAAACATATGATGTCATTTTTTAAGGAAGTTCAAATTCCATTCCTTCAAGTTTAGATCACAAAAGCTTCATGGTCTTGATTTAGTGCGAAAATCATTGAAGAATAATAGGAGTATTCCTTAATATCTAAATTTAACCACATCTTAGTTTTGTTTGGGAAGCTTTGTTTCCAAATTCAAGTTCTTTTTACTAAAAGTCCTAATTTAACGTTAATGGTCTTTAATGATGGTATACTTCCTTAACAATTATGACCTTTTAGGGATGCACTGCTCAAAGTAGGTTGCATTCATCATTCGAGATGTTTCCAGTTGTATTATTTGCACAATTAAGTATTAACCACATAAAAACGGAAATAAAAATGTAAATATTAAGCAACATCCGGATAGAGATAATTCAATCCCTCGGAATCCTTGAAATAACCTGTAACAATCTTAATATTGCCAAAAAAATAAGCATACGTGCTAAACAGATCAATTTTTTGCAGAATAAAGTTGTCACTGAATCCGATCTTGTCCCCAAATGAATTTGCATATTGTTTGGATTAATTAGATGTCAAAAAAATCAATTAGAACCAGCATTTTGGCATGACCAGGTGCTAATAAATACAAACAATGCATCATTTTTCACTTTTACGTGCTCAAGAAATTATTAAGTGATTCCACGGGTAAAGGTTATTGATATTGAAGACTAAAAGTGAATGTATAAGATCATAACATCCAGTCAAAAGAATCATAAGAATAAAGGAGAGAGAACACAAAAAATTTCAAGTGCAATCGCGTGTGACAACCAGTTTGAGATAAAGAAATGGAATTAAGAATCTTTAGAATGTCTCCGTTCAAAATGGAACAACATTTAGGCAGTTATGCTAATTTATTTTAAAGGTTGCAATTTATTTTCAATCACAAAAGGAGGAAAAAGATAAAAAAATAAAATCTGCGAAGATGCTTGCAAAAAAAAAGATGAACAAGAAGAAAAAGACTAAAGAATATCGGGAAATACAGGAAATTATGAGGTTATCGTATGGCAAAAAAAAACTTGCCAAGCAACCAAACGTGCTGATTCTTTAGCATGAAGACTAATTAGACAAGAATTGGCAAAGAAAAATGTAAATTAATTTTTTATAACAAGAATAAAGCAAAAATCAAGGACATAAAAAAGTTCAAAAATGCAGAAAGGATTTTAAAAGTTTTCCTCAACAAAGGTCAGCAAAAGTTTGTCATAACAAAAGATTGAATAATTTTGCAAATATTTTAATTGCTGTCCAGATATTAGATTTTAAATGATTAACATAAATAAGCACAATAAAATATATAGTACCTCTATGATACAGAATAAATTGAGTTCTAATAAATAAAATGCAATAAACTTGTTTTCTGTGCATTTCCGCAATATCATTCAAAAAAAAAAAAAAAAGAGTCAAGATGAAATTAATATGTCGCTTATTAACTGTAATGGATTTCTTAAACAGTAGCGATGAGAAACTCGTTGATTTAATGACACAATATCTTGCAATATTGCCTCTATAGAATGTTTCATATTGATAGACAATTTAGTGTGTTGGCCATAAAATGACAATAAAAAACTATTGTCTAGAGTTTGATCTAAGCAGGTTATTCTTGAAGCATGAAGCATGAAGCTTGCGAATCTGCTTTGTTATTTTAGTCACCAAAAGCAACAATGAAAACTATAAAAGGGGCCGTTCAATTATGACGTCCTAAATTAACGGTCATTTTTCAAAAAAGAACAATGGATTTCCAGGAATTTATATTGTTCCTTTCTTGTTGACCCCCCCCCCCCCCCCCTGGACGTCATAAGTGAACGGTCCCAAAACAAACTAGTGTATCGGGTAGAAACCCAATGTGGATATATTCACACCGTACCATCAAAAGTCTTATGGATAGACCAAGATTTGCTCAGCATAAGTTTGAAAGTAGGCGTGAAGTACGGCCGAGACCCATATCGACACAGTTCAAAAGTTATACCTAATTTATGTCATAATTATGTCAGCTACAAAAACACTTACTTAGAATTTTGTCACCCTCGGGAACACTATGAACCAGTATAGCTGATTTTGGTCCAAATCTCGGCCATACTTCACACTTATTTGAACCTCATTTTCTCGTAAATGTTAAAATATTATTAAAAAGTAATTAATCCTGAATTATGTCGCTATTTTGTCAAGTGTTTTCAGATTAAGAATTTGTTTTTTGGTTTCCACAGTGAAGAGTATGAACAAAATTCAGATGGGGTAGTCGAAATTTTAGAATTCGATTTTTTTTAAGCTAAGCATTATAAAAAGTAATATTGGTATGTGATTTATGTCAGAATTATGTTAATTCAAATAAAACATCCAAAAATTTTTTGGACAATAGTACACCATGGAAAATCAATTTTCAATTTTGGACTAGGGGCGACCCTAGTCAACTGTTTTGTATAAATATTAGTAAACTCACACAAAGTTTCACTGTAATTGGATAAACCTTCGAAGAAAAAAGTGAAAAACTAGATTTTGACTAGGGTCGCCCCTAGTTCAAAATTGAAAATGTATTTCCTACTTGGTTCTTTGCTCAAAAAAATTTTAGGATGTTTTATTTGTATTTGTTTTAAGCACTAAAATATTTATGCAAAGTTTCAATCCATTTGGATAAACCCTCGAAGAGAAAAGGGTCGCCCCTAGTCCAAAATTGAAAATGTATTTCCTACTTGGTTCTTTGCTCAAAAAAATTTTAGGATGTTTTATTTGTATTTGTTTTAAGCACCAGAATATTTATGCAAAGTTTCAATCTATTTGGATAAACCCTCGAAGAAAAAAGTGACAAAATTGATTTTGACTAGGGTCGCCCCTAGTCCAAAATTGAAAATGTAAAGTTTAATTTAAAAAAAAAATCACAGTGAACTTTTAATTTGAAAAATTCGTAAGAAAGGAAATTTTTTTGCTTTTTCTGAAGCAACGGCTGTTCCTACCTTGCCCAAAAACAACACAGCTCTTCTATAGAGCAGCACGGATCAAATGTAAAAAACTAGAAGTCTCTACGATGTCTCGTTATTGAGATTTCTTGCTGATTAACTTGCTTGTTTGCTTGTTTGCTTTCTTACAGAAAGCATATTTTGCGATTTTCTCAGCAATGCCGCAACCAATTTGAAATCTGTTTTTTTGCAAAAGATGTGAAATTCAAGGCACAAACTTTTCATCTCTGAACATTTTAAGCTATCTTGCTCCATATCCTTACAAAATTCTAAATACTGATTTTTCAATCTGAATAAAACCAATAGATTCACACGTGAAAACGATGTGAATATAAATAGTTTTTATTGAATTCAAATTGAGAAAACATAAAGCATCAAAATGGGTTGTTCATAAATGATGTTCAACCTTGAAAATTGAATTAAAAATGATCATTTGTGAAGGACCTAAAAGAAGTGTCATAAATTAAGAATATAAATGAACTTTAATAAGATTATGACCGATTATAAATTAAGAAATAGCATTTTGTATTCAAGACTTCAAGTTAGACGATTTCTTGACTGACGAAGAATTGTTTTCATGTCAAATAAAGTTCAAAACACTAGCTTTTAAATCTATTCATTAATAGTTCCTAACTGCAAGTCATCTGAGACTGTTTAATTTACACTCGAGGAGTGACAATTTGCAACTAATTAAAGATAATTAATTAAAGAATATTTCTAGAAGGCTCGATATCCTTTAAACTATTTAGCGAATAAATATGCGAATATTTTATATTGACTAAATGTCTCATGCCGCATCTATTAAGTGACAATTTTTTGCCACTCAAATGTGCTAATATGCAAATTTATTTAATTGACATTAAAACCTACAAAAAATAGCTTTGTTTAAAATAGGCAGCATTATTTAATCATTATTGACCATGACCGCTGCTCACAGCAATTTTCTTATTTCTCTTTCAATTTTTCATAGTATGACATTGAATGGCACATAAAATGAGTCTTCGTCTGTGCTGGAAATGATCAATTTCAAGTTCAGTAAAAGTTCCCACAATTCTGTGCCTTTTAATTGGGTCAACTTCCAGTGAGGCATCGCTTGAAGGGCTAATTATGAAATTTAATGAATTAATCACACAAAATAATTGAAAAACAAATGAGAAATGTGTTGGCACTAAAAAAAATAATGGAATTCATGTAATTAAGCTTTTTAAAAATCAGTTTAAAAAATGTAACAATAAATGCGATTCGGTATTCACTGGAAAAACATTTTTTTTTGTGTATATTACGCCACATCTCTCATAAAGCCGAAAAAAATTCACTTTTACTTTCACAAACCACTTCTCATTGACCAATAAAAAGAAGCAGGAAATTGAGATGCTGTGCGAACAGTAACGAAAAAAAAATCATGACTAAATCTTTAGACCAAATAAACATTTCTCTTCAATCTACCTATTGTTGTCAATAAGAGTGTGAGCGACGCCTCGCTTCTAGTATTAGGCACATGTATGCATTCATATTGAGGTTTTCTTTACATTAAGTAACTTATATTTGAACAGTAGACTTAAATGCGCGAGTCAAATAACATTTTTTTTTGTATGGAGATGAAATATAGTAAGGAAATCAATGAATATCTCATAACTTAGCAGGCTAGATAACAGCGCTGTTTTAGCTACATTTAAGAGCAGATGTTTGAAACTTGATTTTTGGATTTTAAATTGAAATCTTTTTGCTTAAAAAAATCTTTATCTTTGTTCAAAATAAGCAAGAAAATCAATAAAAACTAAGTTGCAGCTTTGATAAATTTTTCTGCTAGACAGCTTTTTCCTTTTAAACTCGTGTTATATAGTATACATAGTATATAGTATATACAAATCAATCAATAAATTAAAGCAATTTTTATGGATAAAGCCAAATTGGTTTTTGTTTACAAACAATGGGCTCTAAAATTGTTGTTACTGTAAATTTCTGTGTGAAAACAACGGAAATTAATCTGTTCATTGATCTATATGTGATCTACGGTGATCTGCAATAGTTTATTAATCGATTGCTATGTAATTGCTGCTTGAGATTTGCAGGGTTGCAATATGTGACGACATGTCAAAAAAATATTTCCTGTGACACATGAAATTATGTCACATATTTTACATGTTAACACATTTTTTTCTGTGATATCCTGTCACATATTTAATGTGTCACATATTATGTTTTTCCCGTTTTTTTTTGTAATCCAAATTAGATTAAAAAGGTCCAAAAATTAATTTTCTATCGAATTTGACTCTAAGATTTTCAATTTTTTGATTTTTTTCAGCATTAATGATATGAATGCTGAAAAAATCAAAAAATTGAAAATCTTGTTCAACAACCACAGTTTTTACTACTTATTAATAATATTTTCCAATTTTTTCTGCTCATTTTTTACCAACAGGAAAGGATTCTTAAAGTCCAAAATTGATAAAATTTAAATTTTATCAAACCTAGACCGAAAAATCAAAAATTTGTTAAAAATTTATAAAAATTTTTTTTGTGTTTGAAAAACATATTTTGAGACAGGAAAAATATTTGGACACATGAAAATGTTTGACACATCGCAGAAAAAAATGTGTGAACATGTAAAATGTGTGACATAATTTCATGTGTCACACATAAAATATGTCACATATATACGCATATTCTGTAAAACATAATATGTTTTTGCAACCCTGATGATTTGTTTTTTGTTTATTCATAATTTCAAACTTAGATCATGTCAAAATTGAAACAAAAGTTCATTCCTTGAAACTCTTTCTTAGAAAAGTTTATGTGATTTCAGCCGTGTTTCCAACTTCCTTACAACTAATTTCTTAAGAATTCTTATTTTAAGAATCAATAACTTTAATCTACTCCTTCCCATTCATAAACCTTCGTTATAATTTCAAGCAAGACAATCAAAAATGAAAGCATAACACAGAAAAAAAATTCTTTCATAAAAAAATAGGTCAAAACTCATTAACCTTGACCACACAAGATGCAGACTCACTTTCATTACATTATAAGCTTAAGTTTGGCACTTGATTATTTCTTATGCTGGCATTTGTTAATGTTGATAAAAGGATTTCAGTTGCTTAATTGCATATTTCGCTGATATCCTAACTAAAGTAAGAAATTGTCGTTAATTAACCATAAAAATTAACAATCCAAGGAAAAGCAGTTGACAAGTCAAGTATGCTAGGTAAATGTGACACAACATTTTACTCAGCAAAAATGGTACTCGAAATCAAGTGTGATAGATGAGGAACTGAATGTAAGCATGATAATTGTTTGCATGATTGTTATAACGAATATTTGCGTCTGTCGAAAGCTGCATGCATTAACGATGAATTGCAAAAAATAAGATGAATAGCTGTTTGTGAATTTCGCTACAATTACAAATCGAATTAAATCCAATATTATTTGAGAAATATCATATACAGCCAGGAATGCCCCTCCCGAATATGTATGTCGAAAAAAAAAAAAACTTTTATATCACATTGAATAAGCCTTAATTGTGCATACTGCCAAATAAAGTTGGAGATTATTTAATCCGATGAAGAAAAGAAGTGAAAAAAATTTAAAAATCCATTTAATTTGAATGCAGTAATAAGACAGGCAATGAGTTAAACTTTTTCTTTAATATACTAGCTATTTTCTCTTATTATTATGCAAGTAATTATAATAAAACATTATTTTTTTTGGTTACAGATGAATTATATAAATCGCTTTTGTGCTGGATGGCGAGATTTAATGGAAAATAAATCAGATCCAAGAACATCAGAATGGTTTTTAATGTCATCGCCACTACCTACCGCAGCGATATGTCTAGCATATGTAGTAATAGTAAAGGTAAGGTCACATCTTATTTACCTACCTGTAAATTTACCGTCAACATTGTTCATTTGTTTTTCGCAGATTGTTGGACCTAAATTAATGGAAAATAGGAAGCCATATAAGCTTAAAAATGTACTTATATTCTACAACTTCCTGCAAGTGATTTTTAGTACTTGGCTTTTTTACGAGGCCAGTTCGACTGGGTGGTTAACAGACTACAGCTATCGATGTCAACCGGTAGATTATACAAGATCGGAAAATGGAATGAGAATAGCAAGGGGATGTTATTGGTATTACATAAGTAAATTTACCGAATTCCTCGACACATTTTTCTTTGTTATGCGTAAACGATATGATCAAGTTTCAACATTACACGTCATACATCACGGAATTATGCCATTTTCTGGTAAGTTTATGATCCTCATTATCACATGTACGGCAAAAAAAAAAAAAAAACTTTAACTTTATCTTAATTACAGTTTGGTGGGGTGTGAAGTTTACTCCAGGCGGCCACAGCTCATTCTTTGGATTTATTAACACCTTTGTGCACATTGTTATGTACTTCTATTATATGCTAGCCGCAATGGGCCCACAAATGCAGAAATATCTTTGGTGGAAGAAATATTTGACACTCTTACAAATGGTCCAATTCATCATGGTCATGGTTCATGCCTTCCAACTTCTTCTCTACAATCCCTGCAATTATCCAATTGCATTTGTTTGGTGGATTGGAGCTCATGCCGTCATGTTTTACTTCTTGTTCAGTAATTTTTATAAACAAGCTTATAAAAAGGTAATTTCAACTTTATTTCATATCCAATCCTACTTAATTGTTTTTAATGGATGTCAACAATAAATTATAAAAATATTACAGAAGAGAATTGCAGCTGAGAAGAAGAAAGATAGAGAACATAAGTACATCAATAACAATGATAGTACGAAAGATTACCATTATGGAACTACCCAGCTTTATTATTCGCCAACAGATAAGATGGAGGAAAGTTATAGTACGACTAGACAGAGAGTATTTATTGGTTCCAAAAATTAGCTTTAAATGATATAAAAACAAAATCTCAATTATTTTATTAAAAATAAACATAATCTTAAAAAAACAATTGTATAAAGCTCATTTGTAAGGCGGATGTGGATTGGATGTGCAATTTTTCTATTGACTCATTATTAGTTTATTTAATTCTTTTTTGTGAGCTATTTGTTAAAGTTGTAAGTATAGACTGGTCAGTTATTGATCAAAAATGGATCAAATAAGTTCTAAAATTGATCAAAACTAGATTGATCAGTTCCGTACCTTTAGTTGAAATTTGTCACATTTCTAATGGTCTTTAAAAAGTAGTTTGAACTATTCTTACTATTATTAGGTTTTAACTAGTGTATCGGGTAGAAACCCAATGCGGATTATATTCACACCGTACTATCATAAGTCTTATGGATAGACCAAGATTTGCCCATCATAAGTATGAAGGTATGAAGCTTGATAAGTCACTAATCGCCCAGCATAAGTTTGAAGTTATAAAGCTATCGCGTAAGCTGAGCTTTGCTCAGCATGAGTTTGAAGATATAAAGCTAGAGTGTCAGCTGAGCTACGCTCAGCATAAGTTTGAAGATATAAAGCTATCGAGTCAGCTGAGCTACGCTCAGCATAAGTTTGAAGGTATAAAGCTTGACGAATATGCCAAATATTCTTTAAAAGTTTTTTAAAAAAAATTTTCATCCAAAGTTGAATTTTATAAAAATCACAGTCAACTTTTGTTTTAAAAAATTCGTAAGAAAGGAAAGTTTTTTGCCATTTCTGAACCAACGGCTGTTCCTACCTTGCCCAAAAACAATACAGCTCTTCTATAGAGCAGCACGGATCAAATGTAAAAAACTAGAAGTCTCTACGATGTCTCGTTATTGAGATTTCTTGCTGATTAACTTGCTTGCTTGCTTGTTTGCTTTATTACAGAAAGCGTATTTTGCGATTTTCTCAGCAATGCCACAACCAATTTGAAATCTGTTTTTTGAAAATGATGTAAAATTTCAGGCACAAACTTTTCTTCTTGACCTTTTATAACCAATTTTGCTTTGTTTTCTCACAAAATGCGAAAAACTGATTTTTCAATCTAAACAAAACCAATAGATTCACACGTGAAAACGGTGTGAATATAAAAATTTTGTTTTTGAAACAGTCAAAATGTCTAGACAGTACCAAAATTTTACTCATTTACTAGAAGTTGGGCATAAATGCGTAGCTTTCTAAAATTTGCTGATAGCAAGCATAAATTGTGAGTTTGTTATGTAAAGTTTGTAGATGCAAATATTTTATTTTTTAGAAAATTGACATAAATTACATGCTGCTACTCCCAAAAGTTTAAACTGACACCCAAATTTGATTTTCCCCTTCCCCATCTCCTGACCTCTAATTCATTCGTTAAAAATAAGAAGAAATCCCCAAAAAGAAGAATCCAATGAGCAAACTTTCGAAATCTATTAAAGTAATTAAAATAACTTACATTAGTCAATCCATCCAGCCATTAAATGTGAATATAGTGCATAAACGAATAATGCTCAAATTTAATGCATGTTAATTTTTTAAGCCTCTTGGAAAGAAGAAGAAGAAGTCTTATGCCATTTGTAAAACCTCATATTTCTCTAATTCCATCATAATTGTTAATTATAAATGAAATCGAAAAACGCATTATAATTTTATAATAGAATTTAAGAAGAAACAACATAGCTTTGTGTAGAAGAAGGTATTGATTGAATAAAAAATAATAAAATAAAGAAAGAAATAAAAAATAAAAAATAATCGGAACTGAAGAAAGAAGAAATTAGTGATTTCATTTCATATGAATTTTTTTATACAAATTTCTTACATCATAGGTTTTTAAAAATGACAAAGATAGTAAAAACATTTATTTAATTGTGTAGGTATGAGGTGAGATAAAGAGAAACTGATGAAAAGGTTTAATACGTGAATGCATGAGAAATTGATGGAAACATGTGTGCATATTTCACTGACCTTATTTATTATTAGAACCGTCATTTCAGATTCAAATTATGTAGCAGTCATTTGAAATTCAAAAAATGCTGTGTTCATAAACTGAAACAAACGAAATTCAATTTACTGAACGAATTATTCAACAGCTGAAAAGATGAAATTAATTGAAAGTATTTCCTTCAATTAAGAGTTAATTAAGCAATTATCATATAAGAAATGTAATCTGTGCAGATCCATGGTATGGTCTGTGCATTTCAAGTCTGGTATGAATGATTGAAATGCTTTAATTTCCGAGATTTTCATCATTGAAAACTTTTGTTTACAAAAAAAAGTAAGTAACGGTTGATAAAAATTTATATCCAGTTTAGACGAAAAGCACGATAAAAGGTCTAAAGAGCCAGACTAGTCGAAAAGAGGTATTTTTTGAGTTACATCATTTCCACATTTTCCAGTATGTATATGATTTTTGTCGAAGATACATACGGTTTTCGGTCCATAGAATAATATCTACTAAATTAAGCATTTCAATAGCATTTTAAGCTGTTAATAGTTTATTTATTACAGAATAGTATCAAGTTTAAGAATTTTAGTATCAATAAAGTAAGAAGTGAGTATGTGAAACAAAGTTATTTATCCAAAATATATCAGGTTTATGAAGAAATTGAGTTAATTTGAATAGAAAGTGTGCGAAGAAAGAAAGTAAAATTAGTTTTCGACCAAAAAAAGAGAAATATTCAATAACATGTAAGAGATTTCCTTATGATCTTTATTTATTGACACTGCCTCAATATCTCTCAATTTTATCGTGACCTACAAATTCCTTAAAAAATTTTTGTTTTTGCTGAAAATATTTCATAAAAAAAATAATAAAATAATAATTTTTTTCACTTCTGGTTTGAAGAAATTCAGAATCAGCTATTTTTAACGAAAAAACATTTTCGAGGTTTATGTAGGTGACCATAAACTATATACATACATGCATCATAAATACTTAATACACTTAATTTAGGCCCAACAGAGAAATTTTTTTTTCGTATCAGAAAATTTTCGTAGCCGTAGACGTGAGTGAATCACTAAATGTAAAAAAACTTCAACATTATAATCTCTTCCAATAAAAAAAAAAATGGAAAATTAAATAGTCGATCATTTTTTCTAAACCCTATCACGGACACAAAAAATCCTTAATTACACGATAAGACTTCGGCATGTGAGATAAAAATAGATAAAATTATGATTCATTAGCTACTATGAAGCATGTCAAAATAAGAGTGTTTTTGGCATGAATTTATTAATTTATAAAAATAGCGTAGAGTAAAAATCTCTTCTGCTAGATCATAGAGCATTTTCAATGCTAAAAGATTCTATTTTTTCATCATCTACTCATGACTCTATACTTTTATAATCTCGATCTGCTTACCATGTTCCATTATTAATGATTATGATCAGCAAAAAAAAGTTCACTTCCATTTCGCAAAATCACCGCTAAAATCATCATTAATTTTTTTTTGTTTTCTTCCAACAAGCTCTTATTCATACTTTTTTAAATGTAGAGATGAAACTTGAAAGTTACTATGTCAATATTTCGCATAATTTTTGTCTCACACATTCATTCAATAATTTTTTTAGCGCGATTCCATTCATGTATGAATGAATTTAAGTTTGTCATAATCATTTGAGTGTGGTCTGTTGAATTAACGTCATATAATCTTCAACATCTGTCTAGAGTCGAATTCCATAAAACACGAAATTTGATTTTAAAGAACTTCCGTTATCTTCAACGAGCTACAATCTTTAGTATTTAAGTCGATTTGATAACAAAACGAAACGGATTTATAGTTTTTTTTTCAATATTCTTCTGCTACAAACTAAACATCAAGATTAAGTTGATGTCCAACATGTGTCTTTTTCTCTTTTAAAGATTCATTTACGCTAATTTATCAATATGACACTCATTTTTGGCTCGCATTTTGTCTGCGCTTCTATTTAAGTCGTGCGACAAATTTCTAAATTAAATATTCATTAAAATGTATTTTTAAGGCTTAAGGTGAAATTAATGAGCAAATAATGTCTTTCTTCATTTAATAAACGTTACTCAAAGATTGTCAAACCTTTATTCAAGTGCGTTTTAATTGCCTGGCGCTTAATAGTATTTTACTAACTCAAGCACTTTTCTTGGTAGCAAAATTAAAAATTACACATTCAAGAACTCGTGTAAAACTAATAGAATTCACAGACGTAAAAAAATCATCACATGGGTTCGAAAAAAAAAAGATTTTCTATACTTCCTCTTCTTCTTTTCTGTATATTTTTTGTCTGAATTTCTTTATACGTCTTTCCAAATTTATCGACTTGAAATCTTATCAAAAATAGCTTTTCAAGATTTTCATGGATTGAAGACGTAATAAGAAAAAAATATAGGTGACTGTAACATTAAATGCTCTCTTTATTATTGCCTATTTTTAGTAATCATCATTAACCTTACCCACAAAAATGGCTTATCTACTGCAAGACTTTTACGACTGGTATCATGATTTAATAGACAATCAATCAGGTATGGACATGATCATAACAAAATACTCAAAAAGCTGCTGTACTAAGAATCTCAATCTCTTTTGTTGCTAGACTCTCGTGTCAAAGACTGGCCTATGATGCAATCACCAGTACCAACACTTTTACTCTGTTTAAGCTATGCATACTTTTGTAAATCATTAGCTCCTCGCCTTATGCAGAATCGAAAACCCTTTGACCTTAGGAAAACTTTAGTAGTTTATAATCTGTTTCAAACAGTATTCAGCGCATGGATATTTTATGAGGTATGATAATTAAACATTTTAAATGTTTTTTAATGATACATTTTCTATTCATGCACAACAATGTATTATTTTGTCATTTTAGTATTTACAAAGTGGCTGGCTTCGTGATTATAGTTATAGATGTCAACCTGTTGATTATACACCAAAAGGATTAAGAATGGCAGAAACATGTTGGTGGTATTACATATCAAAATTCACCGAATTCTTCGACACTTTCTTTTTCATATTAAGAAAAAAATATCAACATGTATCAACTCTACATGTTATTCATCACGGAGTGATGCCATTTAGCGGTAAATACAAACGAAAATGAAAACGACAACCTTGTGCGATGGTTATTTAAAGCGCATAATTTTTGGCGCATCTGCTTTTTTGATGAGTTTAACAATCTCTTGAGATTTGAAATCTAGTTCAAAGTAAAACAGATTTTTAAAATTTAACGGATTTTGTGAATTCAAATCTAGACGAAACTTTGAGGCTCAACTTTTGAACTTTGATAGTTGACAAATTTAAGCCACAATTAACGGCTTTATTGCACATCAATGCGTGATTTAATTAATTTAATGCATGACATGACTGAATCACGCAGTCAGTCATAAAGATAAAGCATGTTGAACGAAAAATTGCGCTAATAATCGTCTAAACATATAATTTAAATTCTTCAATTTAACTCTCTCTCTTTCTGTTGCTTACTTTTAGTCTGGATGGGAATGAAATTTGCTCCTGGTGGTCATAGTACCTTCTTTGCCATGCTTAATTCCTTCGTTCATATTGTAATGTATTTCTACTATATGTTAGCCGCAATGGGTCCACAAGTGCAAAAATATTTGTGGTGGAAAAGATATTTAACAGCTTTCCAAATGGTAAGATTTTTTGTTTTCTTTTCATTTTAATATTAAATAAAAAAACTTTCCAATTTTTTTAATTAATCTGATATGAGATGAGGGAAATGGCGCATCATCTTAAATGTATTTACAGTTATGCTTTATTTTTGGTGGTTTTCCTCTACCGCTGATTTCATTGAATCATATTCATTGCTTATTACTTAATTCAATAATTATTTATCATCCTATTATTTATTTGTTTTTCTGTTTCCTTTTTAGATTCAATTTGTAGCCATATTCACTCACCAATTCCAGTTATTGTGGACAGATTGCGATTATCCAAAAGGTTTCATGGTTTGGATTGGACTTCATGGAGTCATGTTCTTATTTCTCTTTTCTGATTTCTACAAACAAAGTTATCTTAAGAAAAAAGAAAGAATAAGAGCGGCAGAGAAGAAAGCATCCGAGAATGGAAAAGTTTATCTCAATGGAGATAGTAAACCAAATGTTATGGTGAGTATGAAGAATTCAAGAATTTTGTTTCTCGTCAGAATTTTCCATAAAACAAATTATTAACGGGTTTTCAAAATTCAAATTTTAACGGCTATTCAGAACTCAAAAATCAAGTTCAAATTTTGAACTTTCCCAAAATTTTCAAAAATGCCAAAGACGTTAGAAAATTCTGACGATATTTCCCTACAAAAAAAAATCGTACATCTACATACTCTCGTTCGAATTGAGATTGTCATTGATGATTTGAAAAACTCTTTCTTCAAGTTGAGTCAAGAGGAGCATCTAAATGGAGGCAGTTATCTCAATGGGCATATAGAAAAGAATGGCCAAATCACCAACGGAATCACATCAAATGGTTCAATTAGATCGAGGAAATAAGATGACAAAAATGAATTGTGTTCATTACATAAAGAGAAATATTAATATACAGATTATAAATAATAATATATTTAATTTTTATTAGATATAAAGAACCAATTGATGACACAGAAGATCATAACTTTTCTAATGTTTTAAAAAGGAAAAGAAAATCATTTTTCAAAGAAACAAATGAAAAAAGAAAGAAAGAAATTAACAATATTTAGCTATGTATCATAATAAAGAGGGTAAATTGTTTTTTAATATTGATAATTGATAATATAAAGAGGAATATTTTATTATATTGAAAACCTTATGTATTATATTTAATATAAAAATGTTTTTTGAGTTATTCTTTTTTTAAAAAAAAATCTAAACAATAAACGAAAAAAAGAGATGTTATATATAAAATAATTAACCGATTTATTCATTTTAAAAAGATTTCTTTATTTCAGCATATATACACCCCCTAGTCATTTCCATGTAAATAATGCACAATTCTCCTTATTCGCGGATTTTACTCGGAGAAAAATTATTGAAAATTTTTGTCAGTGAAAATTTATTAAAATTATGAAACAGTTGATTTGAAAGACTTAAAGCATTGATAACGGTGTGTATTACTTAATATTCTGTTTGTGAACGGTGATATTAGTCGAATCTTCGGGAATTAACAGAAATTTAATACAGAACGCCGAAGAAAAGCAGAATTTAAAAAAAAAGTGAAAAATTTCAAATAAAACTTATATAAGATTCAGTCGTGTTACTTAAAATACATATATTTATACAAGCCGGTGAAACATAAAATATCTTTGGTGAGTCAATCAGTGATTTTTATTAAAATAGTGCAAAATAAATTCTAAAAGGGATCTCAAAAGCGGTAAAAATGTGTGTGCTGTGCTGTGTGCTACATTTATACATATTGATTTTCCTTGACTATCCTTGAAAAATATTTATCTCTATCTATAACAAGCCTCTCTCTCCGTACACATGATAACAAGTTTATGTAATACAAGAAAATGAGAAGAAAAGCAACAGCAGATATCGTGTATGAATGAAGTGGATTTAAAATTATTGTTCTGTTGCACTTCTTCATTCCTCAATTTATCATACGATTCACGATAAGGTGTTGCCCTTTTTATTGCTAGTTTTCTTCGTCGCATTTCCATTCGATTTTTTTTCTGCTTCTCCTTCCTCTTCATTGCATTGCATTTGAATGCTTGACTCGAAACTGTTTACTCTTCATACATATTTACACCACTTTATTCGCTCGACTCGTTTACTTAAAAATGGTTAAAAATGTGCATGAGTAATCATACTTATCAATATAAAATTCATTACTTTTTTCTTGTATTACTTCACTTGACATCTACACACTCGTCATGAGATTTTTATTACTTGGATGACCTTTGTTATCACTCATTTTTTAATCCCAATCATATGTGATGAACTAAAATTGTACTGATTTTTCAGGAAAATCAAAATCACACTTAACACTTATTGGTTTATTAAAGTATTGATTCATTTTTTACCATTGATTTGGCGTCACGATGTCTAGAAAATGACTCATGCACACATTATAATACTCCCTAAATCGTGTATTTCAATTCTTTTTTTGCTGATAACAAGCATTCTTGTTCTTTTTTAAAATAATTTACATTAATTTGCAGATACCGCATAATTAGAGTGCCTCATGACTTACATTTTCTCCCTCTTACACGCGCATTTTATACTTTTTATTTATTGATCAATCACATTGTATGTTGTTCTTAGCGTACTTTTGGAAATTTGGTGTTGAGGCGTTTGTTTTGACTAGTTGATAATGAGTGGCGCGTGAGTGTGTGATACACATTTTTTTCGGATGATTATGAATCTGCTGTGCATGAATATGACTGTTGGGTATTCATTTATAATGTTTCAAATAAGTGTGTGAAGGGGTTAAAGTTTTTAATGAGAAAGGTTTGGAGCTGTCATTTGAATTTTTAAGGGCTAGCATAGAATTTGAATTCGCAGTTAAATTCAAAAATTTCTTAAAATATCATCATGTTCAATAATGTTTTGATTCCGCTTTAGTTCAGATTAAAATAAGATCAAAAAGCTCAATTTCATTTCAGTCTGGTTCAACGATAAAAATTTTCAAAAATGTTCAACTCATTTCAGTTCATTTGCAAATGAAAAATCCGTTAATAATGAAAAGTTAATTTTAATTCAGTTTATTTGTTCAGTAATCTTATTCAGTTCATGTAATTTCAGTTTATTTAATTTTGAATCTCAAAAAGGCGTTAAAAATTAAAACATTATTTTTCACAAATAAAATAGACAATTAATGCGCTCTGTCTATCAACAACGCCTCCTTATCATTCCAAATTTCTCCTTTTGACTATGAATTTAATGAAACATTTCTCAAAAAAAAAGAGAGATTGTGTGTGATTCATCTAAAGTTTGTCAGAAATGCTCACAATATAGCGTATATTATAGTACAATTATCTACACATTATTTGATTATACGACAAAAAAAAATGAAGTGATATAAAACAGTTAAACAAAAAGGCATGAAGAAGTACTTCCTATCAGCAACTAAACAATGAAAAACTGAGTATAAAAAGAGAGTAAGAGGGAGACATAAAGCCACAGAGAGATAGAGAAGAAAATATTTGTTAAATATATGCCGAATAGTTTTAACGTGTGGAATAAATTTATGTAATCGATATAACGATGAGTGCTGAATGAATATAGTTTTTATTTTGAAGGTGTGCTTAAAGGCCAGAAAAATCAAGATGTACATTTCATAAATGGATACGCAGTGTGTGTGTTGTTTTTGGACAAGGGACATATTTTTCATTATGGATGAATGGAAAAAAGACCAAAAAACGAAAATGACGAAGTGAAGTTCAACAGTAAGTTAAAGCTTACTCGTTGCCATTTTTGAAAGTCGAAAATGAATGCGTACCAAATGCATTCTACAGATATACTCGGATCGCTATTAATGAACATGATATGAATTATAATCATGTGATTAATTTATTTATCATTTTTTTGATGTGCAATTCGAAATATTTTGTAAGTTACTTTAACTGACACACAAAAAAAAAACAAACAGAAAACAAAACTAATTTTAATTAAATGTAGCATAAAATGAGCTGTAATGTACAAATGTTGAAATTTTAACTTTATTGTTTAACAAAATTTTCATAATATTTTTTTTCATGATTCAATAATTATTATGTCTTTAATTATATATTTTAATTAATCGACTCTTTATTGTACAGATTACCACGCTTTTGATATTATTGGAAATCCACTCTAGTCATTTAAATGCAGTTTAATGAGAAAAACCCTTAACATACCGCGTCCGTGCGATTAGAAACCGTTAAAACGGTGCTGTCGGAGATAAATATATTAATCATAGCCTGTAAGCTGACAATCATTCGGGCATTGGGTCTCTAATGAGGCTAGTTTACAGCATGCAGTTAATTATTACGATTTATTCTTTACTGCACATTTATTACACTTGTTTAGCGCAATTTTATTGATGGGGAATTGCTGCAATTATTTGTGCTTGATAATTTGCACATTCAGAGGAATTTTTTGGGTCAATAGAAAATTGTGAAATGTAACGGTTCTCGAAAATTTTAAATTCAACGATTTTCAAAAATTTTGAAATTTGATTTACTGTTCAAAATCAGGTCTTTTTGACTTTCTTATTTCTTGCTTTTATGCAGTTATATGACATAACATTTATCTAAGAATTTTCCTTATCTATGTCAACATATGTCCAAAATATAATGTACATTGAGGCACAAAAGAGTAATACTGTAGTTTTTATAGACATGAGTTATTTCAAGCAATTTGGGAAATGCGCAATGATCTTCTTAAAATATTTAAAATGTTAATTTACATAAACACAAAAAAAAAAAACAAAACAATTGAGAGATTTTCCTTCCATCCTACACAAGCATGATTGGGTAATTATTTATGAACTACACAGAATTTATGTGGAGATGTTACAATGGGGAAAATGTCTTGGGCTGTTCTTTGAGTAGGGCAGGAAACATTGTCGCTCAGATAAGAAGGAAGTCAAAATGTCAAGATGATTTTTGATGTAAAGGACGATTATAGCTTTAGGCTTACAGATATTACACATGTAATGTTTTTTTTTTATAAAAAAATAATTAATTTATTTTTGCTGGATGTTTAACAATATTCATTAAAGTAAAAAATGTTGAATTCAAAAATTAACGACTTTTTGAGTTCTGAATATTTCTCAAGTACAAAATATAACGTTTTTTTGTGATTTGAATTTGATTAAACAAACTAAAGTTTAAAAAATAACAGCTTTTCAAAATTTGAATTTAAATAAGTTTTCCCAAAGTTAAAAGTTGAACGACTTCCATTTCTATTTCAATTCGATGCTTTTCTAAAAATATCAAAAACTAATATTTTCAGACACAATGCCTCGAAATCCCATTCAATTAATGAAATCGACTATACAAACATCTACTTGACATCTACACACAATAGATTAAAAATAATTTCTATGTCCCTTTCACCTATTCATAAAAATAAATGAGTTGATTTCCAATCGATTTGTAATAAAAATATCAGAATTTTTCCATAAATAAATTTGTCGTGAATTTTTTATGAGTCTTATTTTTGAAATGTCATTTCCATACCGGAACTAAAAACTGATCATTACATCCAAAAAAATCAAAAAAAATCTCAAGTTTGTCAATCATTAGAAAATGCGTTAAAATTGAGCTACTTACATCCAGTTACAATTTCTTTCACAGTAACCGGTAACACGACTAGATAAATTAAGCTAATCGTTCACTTATAGCAGTCGACAATTCGATCAGGTGCTTAAGCATAGCTAATATTGATAGAATTGCCCCATCAACCGTTTACAAGATCGACGACATTCATGCTAAATTGAAAAGATTCTCTCAAAATTGAAATGATAATGAAATAAATAGTTAATTTCTATGCGAAAGGAACCTGATGAATTTATCGATTATATAATAATAATTTTTGTATTTCATTTACATTATTTAAGGCTGTGTTGGAGTTACACAAAGTGACTTCGAGAGCGGCAAATAGTCAATACTTTCTTTCTTTTCACTCCCAGCTTCTCATTTCGCCGTCCGTACAATGAGAAATCTCTAAGATTGAGATGACTTAAGTCCATTAAAAAGTCAAGATATAAGATTGCTACTGAATTCTATGTCCTGTGTCATAGATTCTTAAGTATAATTGCTCGAATCCATTAGTTATAAATGAAAAAAGTGATTAAAATTATTTATTTATCAACATTCATCCATCGCAGCTTGTTTGTTGCAAATGTGCGTGTTCCACTGTCCTCTCTTACTCTCGACCGCAATGAGTCTCTTTGCTTTTTTTTCTCGTGACGTAATCTGTGTAAGCTCACACCGACCAAATCAACATATGATATTTTTTAACAAAAACGCGAAAAAATTATATTCAGTCTGGTGTTGGATTTTGTAAAGTGAAGTTGAATTTCTCCCCCTGCAAAGTACCTGCCTGATGTATATAATATTAATATTTCTCATAAGAAAAATATTATAAACATCCAGTTCCAAATAGCTGGCACAAAATAAATAATTTTTTTTTCTTGTGTAGATTTTTTTAGAATTTATTTTACAAAAATCATAAATAAAGCTACAAAAAGGAATCAGTCATTCTGCCTTGACTCACAAAAAAATGTAATTATTCTTTTTAAATTTTTATTTTATTTTATACCAAATTTTATAAATGAAAGTCTCGCATGGAATTGTGAATGTTTATTGACCAAAAAAAA